GACCCGACTCTACTCTTGGAGTTATCGGGGCAAACCCCCTTCAACCTCGTGCCTCTCACGGTGAACTGACCGGGGGAAGACAAACAAACTTTCAAGTCAGGCTGTCATGCTACCTTTGCTCTCTTCTATCCCTGCTGTTGACTGACGTGGCAAATTAGATTCTTCGGGTGGGCGTTATAACAGTCGACCATGACTGAGCGTCTTTGCTCTGTCTAACATTTTCCCGCATTATGACCAGGAAACTGACTCAGGATCAAGTTCGGCGTTGTTGGCGGGGTAAACAGCTGGCAGATCTTGCTTGCCCTAGGGTAGTGCTATTGTAGCTTTCCTGTCTTGTTTGGCCAATGACGGCATCATTCGTTCGATGCGCGAAGATCAGTAACCCGACTATCTTGCATCAAAACACACCCTTTTCCGTATGCAGTTAGGGCTTGGCTTGGGTAATCACCGTGGTCAAATCAACAACGCATCACAGCGAAGCGAGAAAGAGAGGGGATCACGCAGTGAGAATATCTCTATCGACTGATGTTCTGCGTTGGCATCCGGCCGTGCATTTCGCTTGGTTGACAAGTCAGTGGTAGACCCAGTTCTAGGGTCCATGGAGAGCCCTAATCTGCCCTCCGAGAGGTCGATCCTCATTCCCCCCGCAACACTAATGTCGCCAAGCATGCGAAGACGGCTCAAAACCTGTAGATCAAGTCACCAAATCTTTCTTCTTTGTCTGATATCTTGCGTCCAACTGGTAATCAGCTGCTATCTGTCGATTTTCGGTTCTCAACTTCCCCGAGAGTCCCATTGTTGCGGGGTTATCGTACCGCTCGTTGTATGTTGGCATGCAAGGGTTACAATGCTAAAGACTTGGATAGTGCGGAGATGCGGTCATGCGATATCGACTCGAGAAAAGATGTTTGTCGTCATTTCTCGCTGCATGGAGTGAGGGCCATGKAGACTGGCGGTCAGGCCTGTAAAAATTGTATATATATCATGTCAATCCATGCAGGAATTGCAAGGACTGCTCATGCAGTGTCAATCCCGGAAATTTTTTCGTTGATTGGAGGTTATCTGTGATCGACAGATATGTTCTTGTTAAACAAACTTCTGCTCCTGCTGCTCGCTGGTAGGGTATTGGCGAATGACTCTGGAGAGCCTCGTCATCATAATTATGCTCGGCAGACTGCAAAATATGCACCCAAGGTCCCACCTCTTGACACAGACTGGACCAGCAAAGTTGGTACCAATCCATGGCCAGAGTATCCTCGACCTCAGTTGGAGCGATCTGAATGGCAGAATCTGAACGGGATCTGGCAGTATCAGAATGCACCTGGGCTGGAAGCTGTCCAAGCTCCCCCCTTTGGGCAAGCCCTAGCCAATGAGGTTCTAATCMCGTCCTGCTTGGAGAGTGCTCTATCAGGTAGTCTCATTCCTTTGGACTGGACAAGCAGGGAAATTGACCACCATGCAGGTATCCAAGGAAATCACACTCTTTATTCCTGGCTGTCCACAACCTTCACGGCACCCAAGCAATGGAAGCACCAAAACGTGCTGTTGAACTTCGGTGCTGTGGATTATGAGGCAACCGTCTTTGTCAATGGGAAGCAGGCTGGCTTCAATCGTGGAGGATATTTCTCCTTTACCCTAGACATCACGCAATTTGTCTCCTTCGACGGTGCGAATGAATTGTGAGAAACATAGCCCAGCCTTATTTCCAAAGCTGACTTTATCAGGTTGGTCTTCGTCCACGATCCCACTGACAGCGGTGACTATGTTATACCAATTGGCAAACAGAGACTCATCCCAGCTCATATCTTCTATACACCCTGCAGCGGCATATGGCAGAGTGTCTGGATTGAGTCTGCTCCAGCCAACTATATCACGGAGTTGGACATTAGTGCCGGTATGGACGGTCAAGGTGCGTGAAAGTAGGTCCAAAAATTATATCTTTGGGAACTGACAGTAAAAGTCAACGTAACTGCCCTCAGCGCCAGTGGACAATCAACACCCGTGGATATTACTGTCTTTGATGGTGCTTCAGATAAGCAAGTGGCATCCCACAAGGGTACATCCGACCAACCCTTCAGTTTCAAGGTCGAGTCTCCGAAACTGTGGTCGCCTGATTCTCCGACTCTGTATAACATTAGCGTCAAGATGGGAGCGGACGAGGTCAAGAGTTATACTGGATTCCGCACTATATCGAAAGGAACAGTCAATGGTGTCTTGCGGCCTTTGATAAACGGTAAATTTACATTTGTCTTTGGTACTCTTGACCAAGGCTATTGGCCGGATGGTATCTACACTCCCCCGAATCGGGAAGCGATGGTGTACGACTTGCACTTTCTGAAGAGCCTGGGGTTCAATATGCTTCGCAAACATGTAAGCCTCCATCCGTTCTGGGCGTTCATTGCTTACCGAGTACTTCAGATTAAAGTCGAGCCGGCCCTCTTCTACCGGGCTTGCGATGAAATTGGTCTCCTGGTCATTCAAGATATGCCCTCGCTTCGACCCTTGCAATCGCGGAAACTGCCAAACTGCACCGACCAAACCATTTTGCCAGACGCTGCGCAGCAGGACGAATTCAACAGGCAGCTAGAGCTACTTGTAAAGCAGCACAGGAGCTACCCCAGCATTTTCTCATGGGTATGCTCCTAACAACATCATCCTTCACTTCTTGACTGACAGTCTCAGATAATCTATAATGAAGGCTGGGGTCAGCTGACGGACTATTATCCGGAGATCGAGTTAACGGAGAGAGTTCGCCAGTTGGATCCCACAAGGCTGGTTGATGCGACGTCCGGATGGATTGACCACGGGCATGGCGACTTCAGCGACAATCATCATTACTCGTACCCTCAGTGTGGCGCACCGTTCTACTCCATACAGTCAAGCCCGCATGACCCAAGCAGAATCGCCATCCAGGGTGAATTCGGAGGTGTCGGCACCAATGTTTCTATCGAGCAGTAAGTCTATCTCTCCAACAGTGACCAATCAGTCAATTGATGGAAGTAGCTTGTGGAAAAACATCGACGCCATCAACGGAATTAACATGACTTACGAGATCGCCGATAATTTTGACATCTGGAACTACCGTAGCCATCTCCTTTTGAGCGAGCTCAAAGATCAGATCACGAGATTCTCTTGCAGTGGAGGCATCTGGACGCAAACGACCGATGTAGAGGGCGAGGTAAATGGGTTGTTGACTTATGATCGAAGACTGAAGCGCGTCGATGAGAAGATGTGGAAAGACGATATCCAGGCATTGTATGACGCGGCGAAGGCGAGGACTTGAGATACTTCACCAGGCAGACACATTTGAAGTTGTGTTCATGCGAGTTCTGGGCTTGTGACCTGTCCAGATATGGTCACCTGATCAGTGTTGTTAACCTCCAGATTATGACAGCTCGTCTTAAACTCGGTATAGTTTACTTCGCTCTTCGCTTGCTTAATGGAGATTCAGAGAGTTTAAAGTGGCTGTTTTGATACACTACCAAAGATGCGGAATTTATTCAAATGACAAAGCACTAGTTTGTAGTAATGACTGCAACGTGATTCTTACTTCAACTATGAGTTATGGTTTTCGTCTACTCAATCTTTTAGCTCGTACATGTACAAAACTATACTCTGCTGTCATCTGCTGCAGTATTAATTTTACTAGCTAAAAAGGATGCCTTGACACCATTTTAGCTCAGTGATTTGAGTGTATTCGACATACTCTGCGATAATAACCTCAATCTGCCGATTGACTTACCTACTATGTAGCAGTCTTGGTTTCTCCACCCACCTAACCGGCCTTGACCTTTCTCTCAGAAGGCCGAACTTTAGATTTGATATCATCTCTCTTCAACTGACAGACGAGGTCGGTCTTCTATCTTGAAATGGGTAGTGCTGTACCTGTGGTGGCAAGCTGGGCTCGGACGGATACTGCTCACTGGGCATGGCTTGCAAAAGAACATCATCCCAAAGAGTAACATAAAGCCGGGATTACCTTAAGAGCCCATGCGGTTGATTCCCATAATGCAGTATTGTCCACTGTCTCGACCTACTCCCCAATAAAGAAGCAACCATGGGAAATAGGTATACTGTCACGTGCAGCGGATGTGGGTCAGCCATGCGGAAATGCCGAAAGCTTAAATGATGGCGCTTGCCTACTATGGTAGTATATCATTACAATAGTTAAACCTGTCCTAGGGAGATTGATCACTGCTGCAAACCGAAGAATAAACCGCGTTCTAAAGGCTGCAGGAGCTTGCTAAATAGAGGGTACCTGACTGAATTCCGTGCCAATGGAGCGACTGTTGAATATCAGATTTTCAGGAACAAATGATGCCTGTGCCACAAATGCTTAATCAGGATTGTTTTGGACAGCCCGAGGAATATACCATACAATACGTCCAATCATGATAGTAGTGGTGTGTAAATAGCGCTGCCTGTGAGTATTAAGTGTGATATCGCCTTCGGACCAGATACCAGATATTGGAGTCCCTAACCCAGAACCAGCGGCCATCGCCACGCTTCTCCCCTTGGTTCAATGACGTCGGTCGCTGCATTCCCATTATTACTGAGTAGAGGCACTTGAGGACCTTACCTGAAGTAGCATTTGTATGAGTTTTTGCTCGACTGAGCCTACATCGACGCAATGTCAAACCCATTACTGCCATAGTAGGTGATGTAGAGCTCTTCCATAAATGAGGCATACTGCACCGTATCTGCAGCTACATTGCTTAGTCGACTCCTTCATGGTAATAGCTGCTTTTGCTAGCCTGCTAGGATTACCAGACATTCAACTTCATACTTGTTGAATTTGTCCCGGAACCGGTCCATGTCCTCAGTGACGATTGACTACCATGGCTTTTCGGGCCCCTTCAAGCCTCTCCATATTCAAGCGCTCCATTTCTCCAGACTCAAACTCCCCGCATCAATTTAGTAGAATTATCTTCTTCAGACTGCGAAATAAAAACACCAAACACAATGATCAAATTATATCTAAAGCTAATTTCAAAGAACATCTACGAGCCCTCGGCATTCTTCTCCGCTGCCGAATGAACATGCGAAGCCACTGATCCGGTCGCAGGGAGATCCGCAAACGCACGCGCCTATGACTTAGCGTCAGCCAGGTGCCTCCTAGAAAAGGATTCCAGTTTTGGTGTCAAAGCAAAGCAGCTCTTACCTCCTTTGAAGTTAGATTTCTCGCGTCATCCATCGTGATCTCATTCAACGGTTTGCTCAAGACCTGCTCGGCCTTGGACGCCCAACGAATCTGGTCCGGATTCACTTTGTCTCCGGGGGTTTTAGCCCGGAAGATCTCGCCTACACAGAACACTCAAAAGCCTTACCTGTTAATGCTTCGTCGGCCAGCTCTGCGCTCTGTTGGGTGATGTAGGTGATTTCCTCGTCGGTAAGTGGTTGACTGTGTCGTCGGCGTTGGTGGACTCGTTCGCGAAAGCGAAGAGTGTCCATATTCTCGAGGTCAGACATGATGTGCTGATGGTGTATCTTTCATAGAACTAAGGTGCCTTTGGCGAATACGCTGTCACACTCGAACGGTGCAAAGCTATATAAATTGAAATTGGAGGCGGGGGCGGCGGATGATGAAATGCGAATACACGTCAGGAATTTCTGAAACCTATTGTAAACCAAGGAAGCCATAGTTCGGCGTGCTCGCCCCGTGCTTTAACCAATGTTAAGCAATAGAAGCTTAAATTTCGTGACACACCTGTGACGGCGTGGCAAACTCGCATTCATCCATGTTCTGGCTCTGACATCGAGGGGTACCTTCTACCTACTGAGAACTTGAGAGCTGTAAGAAGAGGAGGTTGAAAAGCAATCGTCGCATCACGACCAATCTGTCTCTGCCGCCAGCGATATGATTTCTTCGGTACTAGCCAGTTTACTGGCGCGAGGTTTAGGCTTTCGTGGGACAGAGATCGGATTCCTAGAGGCTGTACGACTGTCTGCTCAAGGATCGCCAAATTGCTCTTGAGGCAGTGGATAACCGGCGAATTTCTCTTCCATGCCATCCTGCAAGTATCAAGGCTCTCTCAGGACAATATCATGAGGATTACGGAAGGATTCTAGCGAAATGGCGAACATTGTTGTTGTCGCAAGTCCTTTATTTAGAAGCTCAGTCAGCAAACATCCAAAAGAATCTTCGACCAAACAGGAAGTAAAGCGAAGATTTGTACTGACCAACACTGCCTACCGCGATGCTTCCAGTACTCCGTCAAGCAGGCTTAAGGGTCGGTTTTGGCGACGTGGCCATGAAAATGCAAGGGCCCAGCTCAAGTTCGCTGAGTAGTTTGGCTGTGTTCGGTGCTCTTTTGTTGTATACACTCGAAAACTAGCTTTCCTTGGGGATGGTTCTGTGTACCGAGCGCTTCGACGCGCGGAAAAAGAGATCAAGAACGGCAATATCACCGTCATATTGCTAGATAATGTACAGGAATTCGAACTATGTGGCTGAACGGAGCTTCAGGATGACAGTGGAAGCTGGTTTCAGGAAGGGAAAAATGCTCTATCCTGGACTATACAGAATCTGGTGGGAGCAAGTAGCTTTGGTGCATACATCAGATAGGAAATATCGCCAAATGGCAAGCTCAGGACGATCTATGTCGGATCCTCGGATGCATTCATCCGGAGTTCTCCTTTTAGTCAACACCCCCCCGTAGTCATGAAAAGTTGACAGGGATTTTCCACGAATGTCAGACCCACATATGTCTCTTCACCAGGCCTTTCGTCCACAATGGCATGACGTGGATTCTCGAGAACAGCAAGGAATCTTATGAGCTGACGCACCTAATCTGCGAACTGCCCATAAAACCGAGGTGAGTAACATACAGAACATCCTTGTGCCTATTCTGGGACACTCCGATAGATCAGCGAGGCTGATGGTTTTTCTCTTAGTAGCTTGCCTCATGGAATGCTACCTCTACATTCCTTACGTTCAAATACTTCTACATGGGCCTGTTAGCATTTTACACTCATACACATCTCCATTGTTCGCTACCTGCTGATGTCGGTATATACATGAATAACGAGCGTGGGTAAAGACATCAAAGAGATCCAGAACCTTCCGTTGTCCTTGTCTGCAGCCCAATTGTGAACCAAGACAAAAGCCAACATTCAAGCGGCCATGAAGAATTTCCATGTGGCATCAGGAGCCAGAGAACTGCCAACACCAAGGGGAGCAGAGTCATGGCCGCCATCATAGGCGATAAATGAAACCGGCTTGGAGCAGCCCTTGAAATCGGTGCGGACCGAGCCATGGCTGCCGGATTGTGGTTTGCCAATGTTGGCTTGCTGGCATCCATTGTTCTTTACAAACTTCTCGGCCAGTTGGACGCCCCCTTGGAAGGGCAGCACAGGATCATTGATGCCGTGGATGCCGAGATAAGCAATTGGGTCGTTACCACCGTCGCAACCGCTGATCACACCACCACTCAGGACAGATACAGCCTTGAACTGCTTCGCACGCGAGCAGGCCAGCGAGTAGGACATGCCACCGCCCCAGCTAAAGCCTGTGGCAAAGCGGGAGCTCTGGTCAACGCAGAGGTCACCCTCGACTTGCTTGATGATAGCGTCGATGAAGGCAATATCCTCGCCGCCGTTGTTGGCCCAGCCGGCATTCTTGCCGTTAGGAGCGACGAATATGGTGCTGCCCTGAGCGCGCGACTCAAGGCCGTACCAGGGCTGAACACTGTGGCCGTCAACAATGTTCCACATGTTGCCGCCGCGCCAGTGCAAGCCAAAAACCAGATGATGGGCCTTGTTCTTATCGTAGTTGTCAGGGACCTTGAGTATATACTCCCGGCCATTGATGTTGTGGACACCGTTGGTGAGACTCGGCTGTTTGCCGCAGCCAGAGGATCGAGTTTCAGCTAGGACTGAGGGCGTGAGGGCGCTCAGCGCCAGAATGGCCGAATATATCATGGTTGGAACCATTGTAGGAGAAGTATGTTGATGGATGGATGTGACAGTAGGTGGTGATATGGAAAATGGAGGTCCTCGCTGGGTAGTTGAGATTCCTACGAAGCAATGCCATTATGGCAATTGTGCCTGGCATTTATAGCTTTGATCGTACGAGCCAGATGATTCAACCTCCCGGTACCAGGAATTGGTTTCCATTGCCGAAGAGAAGATCTGCAAAATGCTGTGTTTCGGGGTGAACTTTCCATCAGTCGTGTGTATCACCAGTTCGACTTGGGCGATAGCACACCTCCGCACAGCTTTGCGTCAGAGACCCTGTGTCCCTGTCTTTTGCAGATGAGTGGGCCTGCTGTTACGGTTAAACATAGTACGAAGGGAAAACATAGGGTGCCTAGCGCCAAGACGGCTGCTAGCCCTTTGGCCCACGGGGGATTGGTCTGAAATGGTTACCCTGAGACCCTGAGTCCCAGAATGTCTCATCGATCCTTTGCCAAGATAGGATGGACCCTTAGAGCCATGCCAAAAACGGCGCTGCCCGGTTGATGAAGATACCTCCAATTTGCCGACGCACATTGCTTTCCCTGACTGACTGACTCGTTCTGTGACAAAAATGGTCGCATCTTGTTCACCGTCCAATTGCAACCTGCGACTTACTGTAGAAGACTGAATATGGTTTACCCTCAAGGGGCTCATCTACTCCGTACTTAACGTCGGCCAACTAGTTAGTTTAGCCAAAGAAACTCCACTTTTATCCCTTCAGGTTAGATTGCATGGACGCCACTGACCCCTGGACCCTGGTACCCGCTAAACTTCTAGGGCATATCTGACGCGAATAGGACTCGTCATCGGCAAGCGCAAGGTACCCTATATACCGAAGACTATACGCTCCTGCGAATCTATGCTATCGATTCTGACACTCCTCATGTAATTCAGCCTGAATGCCAGTGTCCAGGCTCTCACAGCTCGAGGACAGGCAGTCGACAAATGGATTGGATCGCCAACTCTAGAGCTTCGCCAAGCCTACACCTAGGTGTCTTGGACTTCTCCGTTCTTCCATGCCTCACCCACAGGTTTGTGACAAAACGCAATGCCCTTCATCTGCTGGATCAATTATCTGCTATACAAGTCTCCAATCCCAGCTACAAGCACGGTCCGTCTTTACCTCTTTGCGAACCTTGACCAAGTCTGAGATGGAAGTCTGGCTGAGATACGAGCTACAAGTGTTCCAAAAAAAGAAAATGCACCTGTCTGGCCAGCTCAACGGGAATAGACTAAAAGAGTCGAGCTCGCATACCTAGACGATCACTGGAAGTGCCAGGGTCTTCTGAGCTCCCTTCAAAAGAATGTACGTGAAACAACGGAAGCTCTGGGCGCCTGAGGGTACGCAGTGGATCCACGGACCCGTCAACGTGAAGCACGGCCAGCGCCGTTCCTCGCTTGGCATATTTCGGATAGAGTGATGCTATTCGGACGTGAAACTCATTCCAAGAGAACTCACGGATAACAATCTGTGCTGGGTGATAAAGGCACTGAGAACTCAAGGGTTATAAGGAAGGCCAATTCCTCTGTTTGTTGACCTCAGCTGATTCACCGCGTGTCTGTCTCTACTGTTCGATTCTTCTACCACAGCACAATTTTTCTTTCTCGGGCCGGTCCCATTTCATTCTCTCTTGTACCAATAGTTCACCCGCTCTTTTCTTTGCACTTCTCAAGATGAAGCTGTCCCTTCTTGCTTCCGTGGCCCTGGTGCCATTTGTGTCTGCGCATTACTTCTTTGATGTCTTGGTTATCGATGGCAAGGAGACTAAAAGCAACGAGTTCGTTCGCTCCAACACCCGCCCGGCCAAGTACAACCCGACCAAGTGGAAGAACACTCGCGACGACATGACGCCTGATATGACCGACTTCCGCTGCAACAAAGGCGCCTTTACCTTTGCTGGCCAGACAGGCACGGCCGAGGTCAAGGCTGGCTCCAAGCTTGCCATGAAGCTCGCCGTCGGTGCCACTATGCAGCACCCGGGCCCTGCCTTGGTGTACATGTCCAAGGCTCCAAGCAGCGCAAAGACCTATCAGGGTGATGGTGACTGGTTCAAAATCCACGAAGAAGGCGTTTGCAACAAGAACGCCGACTTCACCAAGAATGCCTGGTGCACCTGGGACAAGGACCGCATTGAGTTTACCATTCCTTCTGATCTTCCTGATGGAGAGTACCTCATCCGCCCTGAGCACATCGGTATGCGCATTTTCCATTTTCACTATTGTTCTCACCTTTAGGCTACAGGATACTAATGCAAATACAGGTATTCACGGAGCCCACGATGGACAAGCCGAGTTCTACTACACGTAAGTACCAGTTCAGGTTCAGCAGCTTGATAAATCCTTCTGACCAGACTCCAGCTGTGCTCAAGTCAAGGTCGTCGGCGGCGGCAAAGGCACCCCCGGTCCTACTATCAAGTTCCCCGGCGGATACAAGAAAGACGACCCCTCCTTCAACTTCAGCATCTGGGGTGGCTACAAGGATTATCCTATGCCTGGTCCTTCTGTCTGGACGGGTGGCTCTGGCTCTGGCTCCACCTCGTACTCMAAGGCTGCCAACGTCACTGATTCCGATGAGTCGTCCCAATCGGGTGCTTCTTCCTATCAACAAACTGAGAGCACCTGTGCCAACGAGGACTACACTCGCCAGCACGCTCGTGACTTCAAGTACTAAGCTTGGACTGGCTTGTTTCTGTCAATCATACTGCCGAGTGTTGGAATCGGTTCTCGGATATATGTAACTAGGTGCTCTCCTCTAAGACTTTACGCCATTGTTGGTAGATCAATCTATTTCGCGGTGAAAATCATTTATAAAAAAGGTCTCTCTACTTTGATAGAGGTTATTCGTTGACACCCACTGCATGCAGTTGGAGAGACATAGTAAGCGTCTCGGTGGGCGGACCAACCATACCCACCTTGCAAGGGGCTGATTCTCCCCCTAGTAGGTACCTTAGACTGGGGCAGCTGAAACAATAGGATGTGGGTCCAGGTCCAACTCTAGTGTAAGCATAAATAAACTATAGTAAGACCCATAGGAAGAAAGAGTATGGAAGAGGTACACAACGTGAAGCCTGCACTCAAGACACAACCCTTGTTCCCACGTGTGGTGTATTACTCTCCGTCCCCTGAACACTCGTTAACCACTTGTTTATATTGCCTTAGTATGGAGCCCTTTTAATATTTCCTTTGAGAAAACTGGCATAACTCGAAAATTCAGTCATTCTCCTCGTCCCTTTGATCACCAAGTCTGAATTTCTGGTTGGTTTCCGTTACCTTTTGTTATTGTTGAAATCTCAATGCGTCAGCTACAGGTTGTTCAAATAGAATCCAATGCGGAAATACATTGCGTTCCATTGCGTACTTAAATCTGATCGAAGAAACACCAGTTCTCACTTAAGGAATCCAGTTGTGGTCCGCGTCCTCCGACATAGTCTGTAGAAATTTTCGCGTCTCGGCGCAGGTCCTTGGCCTGGAGCCTTACGAAGGTGAGGACGCTCTGATCAAGACCTCAGTCTGTGTTGGTGATGTCTTCCAAGCTTGTATCGCCGGTCTCACTTTTTGGCAGTGGTTGTGGTTAGGCCTATATAGCGAGCACATGTCTGAGCTTCCTGTGTTTGACATCTGGTCTTTCATGACAAAGCTTGAGCATCTAGTTAAGTTGGAGTACCAACACTAGTGAGGAGAGAATGAATCAAGCCTCTTTAGTGATATTTTGATTATCAATAGATCCTTACTACGATCTACCATTGGCAAAATCTTGTAGAAAGTCATCAATTCGTAAAAGCTATCAAGCTAGCTGTGGTAGACTTCGAAGGGTCTCCATGTGCTAATGCACTTCAAATCTCCGCATCGAAAGATAATCCAATATCCTTCGTTTAATAAGATCGAGAACCTTATGACTCGACGAAGTCTTGTCATAGGAACGAAACCTCGGTAGGCTCAAGCCACTGGAGGGATTCTGCTGCGGCATTCTCCACCAACACAGGACTGGCTAGGGGGGCAATCCATGTTCATGCGGCAACGAGTCTCTGGATGGACGGGTTCTACCGGGAAAAAGTTAGCTGGGCTGAGCATCCCACTAAAGGGAAACAAGTACTCACCATCAGTACGGACACCGAGGGCACCAATGCTAACGCAAATGCCGCGGTAGCAGAACTGATGAGGGGGGCACCAGTGGTTGATATTGTTGCAGTGACGCGGTTCACCCTCAGTGTCGAAGGTGGTTTCTGAGAATCAAGTCGTGAGTATTTGGTTATAGGAAATAACGAGGGAAATCTCACCCTCATCACGCTTGACAAGCTCAGGAGGTAAGATTCCGATGACGCATCTTTTATTAATGCAAAGCGCATAGAGTCCACAGTCATTGTCAGTGTGGCAGGTGCGAGTGGCAAGATCATGTCCACTAGCCTCGAGAGTAGTCACTGAGGTAAAACAGTCAGGCACATGCGTCAGGAGGTATTAATGCAGAAAGACTCCCACCGTCAGCGGAGGTAGCAAAGTTCTCAGAAGCTCCTTTGGCGGAAGTAGCATCGTCTAGTTTATTAGATGCTTGAGTTTCTATATTCGAAGAGGAAACTCACTGTTGGCATTGATCACTCCATTATTGACCTCAGGAAGAGCAAGAGAAGCTGCAAGACGGGCAAGAAGGCAAGGGATAAGAGCGTGAAGCTTCATCCTGACACAAAGAATTGGCACAGCTTAGGATTGTTTAATGATTTGGCGACAAAGGGACAAGGTAAAGCAGAAGAAGTAGGTGGGTGAGAGAAGAAAGAAGAGATGGACGGTGGGTGTGTAGGGGGTATTTATAAACAGTGATGAGGGAGGCAAAACTCGGGAGTAGAGTGAATGTCAGTAGAAGGGGCAGAGACCCGTGAAGGAACTAGAAGTAAGCAGAAGGTAAAGTGCCTGATTTACCACTCTATTCTCTCTAAAAGCAACCTTACTGCTATACTTAGGACTCTGGATATGGCTTAAACCAATTCAATGGCTTGTGGAAAAAACAGAATAAAATGGTTCCTCAGTACCTAGACTGATTTTACACCTGAGGCATTAACAGGTTATGGAATTGCCTCGTCTGGGGCAAATGAGGCTTCCCAGCAGATGGGGTCACCCTCCTTTCGAATACACCGAAACCCGCACATCACGAATCTTGGTTCAATAGAACTTATACGCAACACTTATTAACAATAGATCGCAGTTATCAGTCCTCTCTCTAGCACAAAGAGAAAACGAGCTGAGTTAAGGCAGCAACTTTCATTGTCTGATTAGAGTTATGGCCAATATTGTTCGTTGTTTGCGAATCCTAGACGTCGAATTTAATGCAATTCCAGAGTTCCAGGCATCAGAGTCAAGTACAGACGCGTCCACCTTTGGAGACAATACAAACATAAAGCTAACGTCTTCTTCATTCGTCCATAGGTTCAATTGTGCAATTAGCGACTGTTTCCACCGACTTCCGTCTCAAATGCCATCTTTGTCGTTTCCTAACTCAAGGGCAATTCCAGCGGATTCGTCTGACATTGAACGGGACCGATAAGTCTGGTCTCCGTCCTGTGCCAAACCATTATTGTCGTTAATGACTCGAGAATCGCCCACGATCTCTTGGAAAACACTCCTCTGTCTACTTATTGCGGCCTCAAATGGTGTTTGCTAGTCAATACGAGCACTGAATGTCCGTCGAACTGCTCAGCTAGCAAGCGACGCTCTCCGGATTGGTGGATAATATGGTCTAGCCACACAGACTTACATTTATTCCCTAGGGATCTATGGTCCTTGCAAATACCTGGTACGGTAGTTAAACCCTGGAAGATAACTGGATTCATTCTGATTCCAACAGGGGCTTTACGCACGATCTCAATATTTACCTCGAACCGATGACCGTCAAACACTGAGCGGGTCCTCGAAACCGACGGCATTACAGCTGAGCAAGATCGCCACACATGATCACATGAATTCGGACGTTGTGTGTGTCCAGGGAAGCTCCTCGCCAACACGACTATCTTCTTCAGTGTCGCCCTGTCACTAGCTGTGTTCAAGGGAGGAAAGTGATGCTGCTACTTTGGAAAAAGTGGTATACTAGCCTGCTACTCATAATGCCTTGATGCCCGATTTTCTGGTCATACTTCTCAATGAAAAATGAAACCTATGTCAGACGTGCATAGTGACCAAGTTGAAGCTAAGAGCTATGAGTTGTTTGAGTCGTCCTGTCTTCGATCAACTAAACAACGTGTCCGGTATTTCACTCGAACAGTAGCAGCGAATTTGGGATTTCCCCACAAGTTATCAATGGCAATTCAAGAACCTTCGTAGCATCCCTTCAACGCCATTCATAGCAAACAAGTCAAACCAAGGAGCGACCCCTAAAACCAGCAACGGAAGGCCAGGCTATGTCCTATTTAATCTAGAAATACTATTCTCAGCGAGCTGTGATCCCTTCAGTCAGTCTGGTGTTCAATGGTCCGATCTATTCGTCAACCTACTGTGGTGCGTGCCTCCGACTTTATCCTAAGCGAGTAAGCTTCCAGCTATGAGGCTTGCGATTTGCCCTCAAGTTTGTCATTTGATACGCAGAGCTGTTCGTTCTGAGCCTCTAAGACCTCCACTTTTGCCTTCCGTGCGAAAAGATCATCAACGATAGCTGGTCACTCATCGAGAACATTAGAATCCACTGGAAATATACCATTGGAGAGCATAAATTACCGCGAATGAGCCAGTGTTCAATATTGTAGACGTACACCATGGTCTCTTTGCCGTTTTCAGTGAACCGAAACGCTAGAGTGGGTTTCCCCCGCAGCCTGGCAGTTGAGGGTATAAATTAGCAAGGAGTTTAATCCATGCTAATAACAGAAATACGTACTTGACTCCAATCCAGGATGCACTAATGGTACCAACAAACAGTAACGAGATTGTGATAACTGAATAAACACCGAGCATTAGGAACCACAATGCCCAGGCGCCAGTGCTGTCTGTGGCCATGCTGCTTGCTTATTTGAGTGTAAAACGACTTGATGGATGTGGTAAACAAGGATTGAAAGATCTCAGAAATATGATCAGCGTCAGAGTCTAGATACTCTGGCCTTGTGATGCCGTTGATATTGAACAGTGTTGAAAGAAAGTGGGTGATCTTGCTGCAAAGAGATCAGAGGATTCACAGATGAGGAACTCGCAAATTGCTTACTGTATGGGGGAAGGGCAACCGTGGTAGAGCCCAGCACCAACTACTGAGAGGAGTTCGTTAAATGTGGATTTGCAGAGGGTTGGTTTGGTGCCTGCAAGTAGTCTCACAGCAAACACACTTGAGTAATCATGCGATTACTCTTTCTTGACAATCAACTTCTTGTGTCATTTGCTCAGTGATCCTCTCGTCTGCTCAAATTGTTTTTCCCGCTTATTTCCATGTCCTTCGCGTTGAACGTGACCTGGTAACGACCTGTGAGTCTCGGATGATCAGTTTTGAGTGTGGTCCTCTCAAAGAAGTTGAGATTCATGTACTAGAGGTCCATGAACGTAAGGTCAGCGTTTTGTGCCCTCAAATGCTTATTACACGATTACGATTCAAGCTAATACACGTACTAGTGAATATGCAGAAGAGAGACAGCTCTATGACCACTGGTCCCAAAACGAGCTATGCTATGCTATTCAGAAAGCCTTCGTTCCTTTTGAAGCCGCCAACTGTGCCCAAAAATAAACACCATCCATGCTAATGGACTCAAACTGACGCACAGAAAGCCAAGCAGTGTCCCCGTCCAACCTACATTGATTCGATCGATAAGTGGTACGGCAGCAGCAGTTGCACCTGCTCCGAACAAGCATCGGAAAAAGTTCATTGCAGCTGTGGCGGTAGCTGGCTGGTCCGTATGACAGTCGATGATCAATGTTGTCATAGTACTGGTAATCCCGGATAATGCATGAGCCACCAGGAACAACATGAGAAGCGGCACAGCCACCTGAACTTCAAAGCAGAGAACCCAGGCATACACCACAATGAACACGGAAGCGAAGTATACGAGTGGGAGAGCGATCTGAAGCCTGGCTTTCTCTAAGGGAAAACTCGTAAGTTTGAGTTCTTTCTTGTCATGAATATCAAATCCGACATGATGCGCAAAGCGTCGAAAATTCCAATTCATCAAGGTTCCAGCTGTCCATCGCGAGGTCAGACTTCCGCCTCCGTACGATAGATAGCATAACCCGATCTGCAGTGCATTGAAACCATAGTGCCTTCCCAGCTCAAAGGGAAGGGTTGTCGTGATGGAAAGATAACCCGCATATATGATGGCGCTGAAAAGGATGGTGCAGGCAGCTTCTTTGTCCCAAATCAGTTTGAGGGTATTCCAAGGGCTCGGACGCTGCTTGAAGGTGGTTATTGTCTGGTATTGAGGAGGTGTCGAGCGGCGACCTGTAAACAGGACGTCCTTTAATGGATAGTTCCATTTCTGCGGGGCAACGCTGCCATTCCCTACGACAGCACGGCAAGTTTCAGGCAGCAGTGTGACGACCAACAGAAGCAGAACTCCGGCAAAGATCGTCAAAAACCAGAAGGAGCTCCGCCAGCCAAAGCAGTGAGTTAGGATCCCTCCTACTACTGGTCCAAGAGCAGGGCCAACGGTGGCTCCCAGCACCGTGTATGCCATATATTTCCCACGCTCCGCACCAGACACCACATCAGCAGTTGTTGCAGTGCCCACAATTACCACGGTGCTGCTGAAAATACTCTGAAGAGACCGAAGTACAATGAGTGCAAGGAAGCTTGTTTGGACGGCCAGACCGACATTTATCCCAACATACAGAATCAAACTGATCATGAGGGTAGCGCGTCGACCTGTCTGATCCGACAGGCTACCTGTTACCAACGGCGCGACTCCTTGAAAGACCTAGGCTTTGACTTAGCCTATTGCCATTGGCTTGAGACGCTGAAACTCACCTTGAAGGAGGTGACAGTAAGATTGATGGTGTTGTTTGACACATGAAGATCCCGCGCCACTTCTTCAATGCCCGGGTAGTAGATGCTGGCCGAGAGGGGCGACAAAAAAGTTGCCAGAGAAGCGATCGAGACAGTCAGGAGCTTTTCTCTCTCTGATAACACACTATAACATGGCCCGTCAGGTTCTGACTCAGCCCCTTCTGTTTCACACAATGTCGGGATCTGCTTCTCGGCCGTAAACTGGCTGACTATATCTTGTTTCGAAGGTATGGGAGCTGAATGCTTTCCTCCCGCCATCATGCTCTTAGTCAACTGAAGAGCATATAATCCGGCTTTCTTCTCAGATAACCTCTACAGAAGCTTCAAATTGCTGGATCATTTTACCTTGCAGTGCTGAACGAGTCCTCAAATTCTAGGTTAAGCCGGTTCATGTCTGCGCACTTTCTGGGGTCGGCTAGATCATTCTTATACCAGTTATCATCGAGTGACGCGATGATCTCTAGTCTACCTGAGCATACCGGGATTGTCCATGGAATGTATGGAGGCGAGAAGCGCACCGATGGTCCGGGTACCGGTCCAGAAGCCTGTCTGTGTTCAGCTTGACCAGGTCACAAAGACGCATCATTGCATCAAGTGAGTACGCACACAAGCACATTCCAGATTGCCTCATATGCCGAGATCACCTTAAGTGCTTGGTAGTGTCAAATTAATATCAAGTGCTTACATGATGCAAGTACCCCTTGCTTCCGAAGCAACGGTCTGTACGACACTTCACTGGACACGACAGGATATTGGTGGCCCCTCGACTCACAACATTCTGATTTGCATACTGACGGCTTTCACCCTGCGGATGTGTGACGTTTCCTTTTGGAAAAAGATCCGACCTCGGTACGAGTATCTGACAAACTGTGATAGGGAAACTTGGAATACTGGGAAATCTAAACGGAGGCCAAAGCAAAGGAAAATGGAAGATCGACGGACCTTACATGCCTGTAGCCCCTTACATGGTCAACACTGCCTGTATGATGACCCAGTGATGGTACTCACCAGGGCCGACTGTTATCGGAACAAGCACATGCTCTCGTAACAGAAAGGCTTTTTCGGAAATTAAGTTGGAACTAGATTATCATCATTCCCAGGATGCGCGGTAGAATGTCAGACATTCTATAAGCCAATGGCACGATGCCATCCAGTCCCCTCGACTAGAGTTCCCTATGGCTTAACCAGCATGGCTGGATTCACACCGCAGAGTGCAACATGCATCATTCCCTTTCAAGTTCTGGGCGCTGCCTTAGCTGCTGCTCCTTTGCGATGGCTAAATAAAGATAAAGAGAGATGTTGGGATTCTCATCAGCTCAATACAAGCTGGTAGGACGAAATGATTCCAACTCCACCATGCACATGAACTCGAGAGACCTAACGACATTTTAAGTCAAAAAAATCCCTCTGGTAAATTGAGGCCAGCGCAAGCATGTGAATAGACTGCCATCTAAACCTAGACGGTGTTTCACTAGAGCTTACACTGAACCTTCAGAGAAAAGCACAAGCTTCACATAAAAGCTCAACTTCGGTTGTATCACAGAGCACAGCAGCAGCAAAGTAACACGTCAACCCGTCAATCCCGAATCTAGGCTCTGCTTCTATTCCTTCTCGAGGATATCCAGCTCAGCAAGCAACGCACAAGCTGTAACGATTGGAAAGCTCTTAAGCTCGCCTAGACCTTTCTACGACGATACGTGCCATCGCCATCCTGTTCTCCGGTAACTTGAAAAACACGCAAGGTAGAGCTCTAACGTTTCTGTGCCAGTTTTATGGTCTGTAGGCGGAATCTCCACCTTGCGATGTCTATGCATCTGGTCCGTGAGCCTCGAGGCAATACACTCAAACTCATCCACCAGTTTCTGCCAATGATCGCGCTCTAGCTCATTAAGTGGGTTTGATCGAATGGTCGGAGTAGTTGTTTCTTGCGGAAATGATTGCGTCCTCGTACCTTAAATTGCTCCGGAATTGTATTGGATTACAAGCAAACGAGCAAAAGGAAGACTTGCGCCAGCCGGATGCGTAGCTTCGTCGATCCAACGTTCGCATGACATTGGCCACAACCCATCGCAGGGCTTGGTTATCGACCAAATAGATTCGTCCTAGAAAGCCTCTTCATTTGGTTTCTCAGTGGATCTGGTCAAACCGGATCCTTCGCTCGTTTGTCGCCAGGTACAATTTTCTGAGGATCTTTCTGGATCTGTAGTACTTTCGTGGAGGCGTCATTGTCATATGATGTCTGCAGTCATATCCATCGATGTAAATGTCGCATTTCGCGTGAGCAAGGAACAAGATGAAGGAGCTGCGAGGTTTATTGCAACGAGGAGAGAATTTGGCGGGAGAGGAGTGCGAGAGGGAAAGGTGCAATGGCAGTGAGCGGAAGCCAACAAATGCAGGCCGACTCAAACTGGGGTAGACCTGAATTCAGGGCGACCGTTCTACTCTAATCAAGGGATGCTGTTTTCAAATATACTCAAGCCCTTCTTCTGAGAATTATATCATCGAGGTCGTATTATCGACTGGTCATCTGGTTGTAAGAGACCAGAGCAAAAGTGTCATAGACTTAGCTGTTCCATAAAGTATACACGTTTCTACCAAACGTCGTGAAGGCACCAAGTCTAGAATATCCAGAATGCAGGGCGCTTCCTGCTTTCACCTGCATCTGTTACTATCGTACAAATTCCTAGCCGTCATGCAATATCATCAGTAGTATGTTTCTGCTCTTTGCGCAAACAAATTTCTTTGATTTGTTGAGGCAGTGCAAATATCATTGTCGGTGAATACTGAGGGTTGAGCAACACCAACTGCGTCAAGGAGCAACTGAGCCATGGTTGAAGATGATCAGGCATCATCGCCTAATTGTAAACAGGCTTCACCCAGCCAACATTTCCATCTTCTTACATGCCACTGCTCCCGCTCAACATGGCTACAAAGCTAGCCCCCGAGATAATAGTCCAAATCTTGAAGTACTTCGAGACCGTGGAAGAAGTTGTGGTCTGCGCTTCAGCATGCAGGCGGTTCCATGATGTGTGGTTGTGCCATGCTCCCCAGATAATATGGACTATTGGGCCGAAGCAGATCCTGGCGTTCGACGATGCGTTGATGGCGGTAAGTGGTGCAATGCTTGTACATGATTTGAAGAATGACAAATGAGTCTCCAGGTTCGAGCGACAGAAATCGTGCTTGAAAGCTTCCAGAAAGAAGAGTTACCCCCTGACCCGTTCCCTTTTTCCACCTTGAGTGGTGCTGTTCGCAAGCCGTCGCTCAGAGAGTTCCAGCAGGTACGCGACTTCGAGCATCTGGCCAAGTGCGCCGAACAGATCTATGTCGAAGACGAGGAAGCCTTGAAAGATGAAATACAACGTGGCCAGCCGGACGGCACCGCACTGTGGGTTCTATGGCGAGAGCGATTCCACAGTTCCATCTACCGAGTCCTCCTGGCAGGCGCCGTTCTCTATCGTGCATACCAGGAACCGATGTACATGGCGGCGAATTGGGAACTACCGAATTTTCTGGACAAGTACGTTGAGGCATTGGCATCTGATGATATGTCGAGCGAGCCAGTGGGTGGTGACGAGCTAGATTATCTCATGACCTTTGCCCCCTACAATCTTGGAGAGAGTGGAGGCATTCATAGTAGCTTCAAAAATCTAGGAGAGTTTCTTGTTCAGCAAGGCAAGAAGCGTGCGCAACGGCAAAAGCTTCACACGCAAACCACAGCGATCCTTCCCACTTTCGCAACACCCAACGGCCTTAGTGACTCAGAGGCGGCTGTTCTGTTCATCGAATTGGGTCAGCTGCTTTTTGCCTTGGAGCTTTTGGTTGGCATTCAGGGCAGGCCACCGATCATCGTCAATGGAAGCGGCTCCGAAGAACATGGAAGGACAAGATTTGCCCCCGATCTTCTTCGCAAGCCTGCCAGAACGACTCCAGTTGTACTATTCGGGACTTTTTTCCCGGAGTATATCTCAACTCCAGCATTGGCAACCGATGCAGTGGACTCTCACCTCGTCGCTACTCCTGTTTGTCGTTCATCAGAGACAAGACCAGGGGCTGGGTTTCAGCATATCTACCTGTTCCTGTATGATCTGCACCGAATGGCGGGCCGTGACAATGAATTCTCCTCTCAAAACCCTGCGCCGTATCCTCACCATCAATTTTTTGAGTATATGTTCAGAGAGTACCTCGGTCTCCGGTTCGTTGACAGTGAGTTCGACTGTCATTACGACGACTTCAGGGAGGATGGCTTCATCTTCGCAGAACGAGATGCTCTTCTCATGGTCGAGTTAGATATGGCAGCCCTACCTGCATTATTTGAGCCTGTAGCTTCAACTACTGGAAAAACATGAGGATGTGTTTTGGTTTACCCTACGATGTTGCTCACGCTCAACTAATACCTTGGGACCATATTTGCTTGCTCAATTGGCTATCAGTGATTTGGAAGTCTGGTTCTTTTGAGTACTAATCAAATGAATTATTAGAGACGAAGAGGATGGCAAGGGGATACTTCTGATTCTTGGTTAGCGCTACTACACATAATGACATAGCTATGATACTCTCTTTGAAGAACACCACCACTTGCGGTCCCTATAGCTGCTATTCATTCGCTGAACTAATGCCATCAGAATATGTAACCTACCTGAATATGGCCGATAAAGACACATCCAGCACCCCCAACACCAACACCATCTACTCCCAACCGCACCGCAACCAAACCTACTCCAGCACCAACAACCCCCCATCCGAAGAACACCCCCGCCGAGCCCTCAAACCAGGCCTCTACGTCCCGCTCCTCGCCTTCTTCTCCCCCGAAACCGAAGAGCTCGACGAGTCCACAGTCGCTCAGCACGCCGTGCGCATGGCCAAAGCCGGGGCCATGGGCCTCATCACCCAAGGCACCTACGGGGAAGCCGCACACCTCTCTCACACAGAACGGGCCCGCATCACCCGCACCACACGCCACGCCGTCGCAGCAGCAGGATACCCGCAACTCCCAGTAATCGCAGGCTGCGGCGCGCCGTCCACCAGCGAGACGATCGAGCTGTGCCAGGATGCGTTCGAGTCGGGCGCGGACTACGCGCTCGTCCTGCCTCCTTCTACGTACAAGGCGCAGTACACGCTTCCCAGCCTAAAGGCCTATTTCGAGGATGTGGCTGGTGCGTCGCCCATCCCGGTGCTGGTGTACAACTACCCCTCGATGACGGGCGTGGACCTCGACGCTGAGACACTTGCTTCGCTGGCGGGGCATCCGAATCTCGTCGGGTACAAACTTACCTGTAACGACATGGGGAAGCTGAACCGGCTCGTTGCGGCAGTGCAGCCTGCGACGGCTGCGGAGCGGGGATCGGGGTTTATGTGCTTCGGGGGCTCGGCGGATGCGACGCTGCAGACGTTGGTGGGTGGTGCGTCGGGGGTGGTTGCGGGATTGGCCAACATTGCGCCTAAGGCGTGTGTGAGGCTGGTTGAGTTATATCATTTGGGGGAGATGGAGGAAGCGAGGAGCCTTCAGGGGGTGGTTGCGAGGGCGGATCGAGTTGCTACGGAGGGCGGGGTGGGGGCCGTCAAGAGTGCATTGAGAGTGTGGTTTGGTTATGGAGGGTATGCACGGAGGCCATTGCGGGGGACAGAAGCAGAGGAAAAGAGGGAAAGTGGTGCAGAGGGGTTGAAGGAGGTGGTGGAGTTGGAGAAGCAGCTGTAGTGAATCTGAAATGATCCCATGTCTGATGGCTGATGAGCAAATATGGTCAGATTTGGGCATTTCGGTCACCGAAAATCCGGCAATCCTGGTCCGAAGCCACTGCTACCCCGATCATACGGTCATGTTCATGATGTCGATCCTGGTGAAAGCCTAGACGCTTGTCTTGGGAAGCGTTCAATAGGAACTCCTGAATATTACAGCGGGAGGATGGCAACGGCAGCAACGACATGGGTCATGGTCCCATGTGGAAGATCCGCGTGTATTTCATCAATTGGTCGTAAGGTCGTGATTATTGTCAGTAGTGTGGTCTCGTGTGAGAAATTTGTAAGAAAGTAAGCACCTTATCTCGCAGGACATCTTGTTTCATAACTCTCTAAATGCATCAAGTAGAAGTAGAAACATGTTTTCAACAGATGAGGTGATCAAAGTGAAAACATTAATGAGGCTTTTTAGCAGAAGAGGACAGCCAATTGACCCTTTTCAGGTTCTTGGCTATGCATACGCGGGACGTATGGACCGGAATCGAATGTAAGGTAGTCTAAAATCACCCCTAATAAGTGCTTGAGGAGGAAGTCTATTGGGCTAGGGCTTTGAAGCTAAAGTACGACAATGCATGCAGCGGGTCTGTCCGATCCCTGCAGCTAGACCACATTTCCTTACCACGCTTTTGCTTTTGGCAGTGCAGACAGAGGCAGCAAGATTGATGGCTTGCTTGATTCAAAAAGAGCGATTGGACTGGCAGCTCAAAGGTTAGGACATATCAAAAGCAGAGACCAGGACGTCATATAGATCTTCATGCTGTATAGTCACTAATCACGGTGGCGCTGAGTAAATAGTACTAGACAGCCTATTCTTTGCAACGGCGGCTAGATTTATCGGTAGTATATGAATTGTGGATGCCTAAAAATCAGCACTCACTCACCACTGACCAGTTTTTGGTTCTGGATCAATGGCCCCAGTAGTGAGGGGTTTATGGGGGCTGAAAAGAGCGCTACAGCACTCTAGGATGCTTAGTTTTATATCTTGTCTTTGATGTAGTCTAGATTCTATCTAGTGCCGCAAAATTTTTCAGAACACTTCGCAACCTGAAAAGAAGGCTATAGAGTTCTCTTATTCACAATATCCACATGTCAAGGCTACACTCATGACACCATTGAAGGAGCATGTGAGAGAGTCGATGGCCCCACAATCCAGAACAAAAGTATAATGCAACATCAAATAGTACGCGACAGGACAAACAAACAGAGAGAGGAATGCAGTCTAACTCTCGAAGGTGCGTACATAATACAGAGTAGCTAGTATGCCTTCAATTGAGACACAAAATAATAAAATGGTACTCCGTATGTATGCAACGACTGCGGCTGTTAAACTAGGAATGATAACAACGCCACCGCCGGACCCGACCGGACAAATTTGTCTGGTCCTGCGGACTAAGCCCATAGTAGTACCAGAGCCTAGTTTGGTAGTAGGACGGAAATGCGTCAGTCTTTTGCCAGGAACTCCATCCCTCTTTGGTTCCTTTCAAACACTTCCCCCTTCTTACTCCTCCCTTCCTGAAATACCTATCCATTGTTGCCTCTCTGTTCATCGCGTTATCCTTTCTCGTGTCAGATCCTTTTCGACTCTACCTACCATCTGCTTAGTCCTCGTCCGATGGTGTGTTTGGTATCTGCAACACCTCGGTAGGACCCCGTCAGTCTTATTCAATCAGCGTCATTTTATCTTCCTCTGCGATAATCGCGCCACTGAGCGCATCGCAACGCTACAGCAATCATGGGCCTCTCAAAAACACACAGGATTCTGATCCTGCTGGTCATTGACACCGCGTTTTTCCTCCTGGAATTAATAGCCGGTCTGTTCGCTCTCATCACCATGCGCAAGATGTGTCGTTGACTGATGCCATTCATAGGTTATACGGTTCATTCGCTCGCTCTCGTGGCCGACTCTTTTCATATGGTGAGAGCCCTGGATTTTGGAGAGACCACCCGAGATCACCCAGGAACCACATACTGATCTTGCAAAGTTGAATGATGTCATATCGTTATTGGTCGGATTATGGGCTGTCAAGGTCGCCAATCAGGAAACCAAGTCGAATATGTACACCTACGGGGTAAGATTCTCCCATATCTTCCGCCTATGCGATCGGATCGACAAGAGTGAGGCTAATATTTTTCTCCGTAATAGTGGCAACGTGCGGAAACTCTCGGTGCCTTGGTGAACGGTGTCTTCCTTGTCGCCCTGTGTATGTCCATTTTCCTCGAAGCAATCCAGAGACTCGTCGAGCCACAAGAAGTGAAAAATCCGAAGTTGGTCTGCATTGTTGGATGCTTGGGCCTGCTATCGAATCTACTTGGTCTCGTCCTCTTTCATGACCACTCGCACGGTCATGGACATGGAGACGACCATTCGAACGAAGATATCGAAGATGTCGATGCGGCGGAACAAGGGCTTGGTCATAACCATGGGGAATCCACCTTGGCGGACAAGCGGGCTTCTACAGCTACCGTAATTACTCCCCATCCATTATCTACACCCCTCTGGTTAACTGTTGTAAAAGCGCGACGATGCAAACGGTGGTACAGAACCATCTTCTCCCTTCTCACGAAGGCGCCGAACCCTGGACACTCAACGCAGTTCTCGTCGATACAGCACTGGGACCGGGCGCGGTATCTTGGGTGTAGAAGACATTCAGGTTCACCCAGCTACGATGAGACAGGAAATCATTGCTGCCAGTCGGAATCGCTTCGATGACGTGTCTTCCGAATCAGACAGTGACCAGCGAGAAGGTGATGAGGGTGACGGTCAGCCGACGGAGCGAACGAATCTTCTTGGCAGCAAGGACAGAGCGACCAACTACACCGATGAGAGTGATACAGCTCACAAGCGGTCAGAACCCGCCGGGGACGACGACATCCACAAGTTCCACAACCACGCACAACCAAAGCCCAAGGAAGGCAAGCATACTCATGCACATGGACACGATCTCAACATGCGCGGGGTCTTCCTTCACGTCATGGGCGATGCCCTCGGCAATATCGGTGTGATCGTTTCGGCTTTGATCATTTGGCTGACCGACTACTCGTGGCGGTTCTACGTCGATCCTGGTATCTCTCTGGTGATTACAGTGATCATCCTTGCATCTGCAATTCCGCTCTGCAAGGCCGCGTCTCGGATTCTTCTGCAAGCAGTCCCTGCAGGATTGAGTATCGATCACATCAAAGAAGATATCGAGCGTCTTCCTGGCGTCATTGGATCTCATCACTTTCATGTGTGGCAACTAAGTGACACTAAGCTTGTTGCTTCGATCCACATCCAGGTGGACACGGAGATCAAGGGTGAAGGATCTGAGCGTTACATGCGTCTTGCAAGGCAGGTGAGGAAATGCCTACATGCTTATGGAATCCATTCGTCCACCATCCAACCCGAGTTTGCCCCGGACAGCGACGCGGAGGACAATCAAGCGCTTGCTTCATCGTCTCGTGGGAGCCATGATGAACCCTCCGGGTCCAGCAAGCTGCCAAGTCTAGCCCCAAGCTTCCGAGAAGGAGATCCTCGGGCGTGTCTTCTTGAATGCGGCGACGAATGCGCCCAAAAGGGCCAGTGCTGCCCCAAGAAGCCGTAGATAATCGATTTGATCTCCTGCCTATGTGCAATCAAATTATTATGATGTTCGGTCTGGCATTTTTATTCACCGGTCCTTAAAAGCATGTTCTTCCTTTACCCCTATTTCTCCATACCCCGTCATTTGTATTATTGCGACATATTATCTCGATGCCCCTTTCCTGCTCCTTATAGATCCATTCGGGTTCGGATGGCCCTTTTGAATGACGGATAATGGATGACTACATCAGTTGACAGGCTTCAACTGCATCTTGGATGTCATTATCTATGTCCCTAATATACATTCTTATCAACCTGCAATGGAATACTTCTAAAGCTGATTCGCTTGTTCCTAATAACCCATGGACCTCAACAACTATGACATCACAGTTAGGTGATTCATTTTATGAGAACTGCTCCCCCCCCACCTTCTCTTCCCCAACAGTCCCAGACAGATCAAGCATATTTTGGTGCGGGGCCTAGGAAGTTCAGTTTATGGATGGCAGAGTAAAGGCAGCCTATACATACTCCAGAGCTGCGATGGAGTCGAGCTGGAGGAAGAGGAAGCAGCTCGACTCCACCTCCAGCTCGACTCCAGTTCTCTACTCTGTTTATCGCCGCTCTTCTCAAGTAGTGGAGCAGGGGAACCTATGGTTGGTCCTTGCTTAAGGCTCGCGGCTGAAGATTGTCGCACCATCAAGGACAGCAACTCTGCTTTCTAACGCAAAATTTATGATTGCTCTTTTAGCTCTGATATGTGTCTCAGCTAAAAGTATTATTCGTGCACAAATTATGAGTTATACACATATAAAGGATCATCTTAGCTCTGGGTCCTGTTCAATGATTGTTATCGCCACCCTACATTGTCACCCCACTCATCCCCATCATGCTTATTCATGCAGCCCCCTCACCTAGGGCGGCACTACTCCCCTACTAAATCAAGAATAGCAACGGCCTTGGCGGCCGTAGCTTTCTGCTCCTAGATACTCCGTATTGTCACGTCGAGATCTCCTTAGCCAACGACAACGATGGCTTAAACGTTGCCAACCACAACCTATTTGTATATTTCTGACGTTTCGTCCTACTCATCAGTTACGCTCTTTTACTTTCCTTTTCCGCAGCATGATACCCTTATTCGTTTGAATCGCCCAACCTTCTGTTCAATTCGTGTCATCGAGTTTCGAGCAATGCGGCCTACACACTAACCCCCCTGCTTTATCTCCTTGAGTCGACAACACAACCATGAGCTACCCTTATCCACGCAGTGACAGTGCCCATGCGTATCAACCGTCCCGCCGCGATCGCTTTGCCGAGCCTACCAATCTTTACGAACGTCTAACCCGGGCGCTACCGTCGTGGGCCAGAACATGGGTTACGGAACTGCGCGAACGGAGAATGCCTGCAGCACTCAGCGAGGCGAAGAATGATTACCATGGAGCTGGACTTCAGAAGATCTGTTGGCGATTCGTGAGGCGTGTGTTTAGTGTGGCGAACGCCCTGATACTCTTGTGGGTTTTGACGCTGTGGTGGGGAGAACGGACTGTTTTCAAGGAGAGTCTGGAGAAGTGTGTCTGGGACAAGTGGGAGAAGTGGGTTAGTGATCTGGACATATCGCTATATCGATGGAGTGCTAACTTTTTCTAGCCCCGGGATGCCACACCGCATCATGTTGTGTTTATAGCCGACCCTCAACTTGTCGATCCTCATACATACCCCGGTCGGCCATGGCCCCTTTCGACGTTGACGGTCAAGTACACGGACCAGTATATGCGCCGTTCTTTTACATCTATCCAAAGAAAGCTAGGCCCCGACTCGGTCGTATTCCTTGGTGACCTCTTCGACGGAGGTAGGGAGTGGGGAACATCGTCGACGACGAGCCCTGAGAAGCGCTATCAGAAATACAAGGATTCCTTCTGGAAGCAAGAATATCATCGATTCGTCAAGATCTTTTCTGATCAGTTTAATGAGGGTGACGGACATTCTACGGAGCCGCGAGGTCGACGGATGATTGCCAGTCTTCCGGGAAATCATGACCTGGGCTTCGGGTCTGGTGTTCAGGTGCCCGTCCGTGACCGGTTCCAGTCATTTTTTGGGCAAGGCAATCGTGTCGACGTGATTGGGAACCACACGATCGTATCGATCGATACGGTTTCATTGAGCGCGATGGATCAGCCCGATCCGCAGACGGGCAGCTCCGGTACTGGAGCGGGGGACGGAGAACAGCCTAATGAGCGTATTTGGAGGGAGACGAAGGACTTCCTCGATGAAGTGCCTCGGCATATGGCCAAGGCCGAGACTGAGGAACTGCTTATGTTGCGCAATGTGTCTCAGGGGATCAAAGGCCGTCTCTTCAAGCACGATGCCGTGGAGGTGTTAGAAAATGCGGTCGCCAAGGAACCGCAATGGGAACCTCTTGGTCTTCCGACTATTCTCTTGACTCACGTGCCGTTGTACCGCAGGCCGGCTACACCGTGTGGGCCTTTTAGAGAACGCTATCCTCCCTCCTCGGATGGGGAGCTCGAAGAGGACGAGCCGAACTCATTGAGGCTTGGTGGAGGCTACCAGTACCAGAACGTTTTGACACAGACCATCTCAAAAGATCTTGTTTCCAAGATTGGGTCCAATCTGGTGCAGGTCTACTCTGGCGATGACCATGACTACTGCGAGATTTCCCACCGCGAGTTCAGTGGCTCACCCAAGGAAATTACTGTGAAGAGTCTCAGCTGGGCAATGGGCGTCCGTTACCCTGGCTTTCTACTCACCAGTCTCTGGAATCCTATTGATTTGACAACGGGGAAGCCGAGTGAGCGGTCTTCGTCCACGATTCAGAACCATCTTTGCCTCCTCCCGGATCAGCTGGGAATTTTCATCCACTACGGACTTCTTTTTGGATTTACCTTTACCATCCTTCTCATCCGAGCAATTGTTTTAGTGCTGTACTTCCCAAAGCCGAACTCACCCGATCCTGTCCTACCACTCTCTGAACACGACTTGCACAACTCTCCGCCATCGATCCCCTCCATTCCCCCATCCTCCAGTACGTCCAGCTCTACGCTTCCGTCACCGCGCGGTCTGGCCAGTCGCGCTGTGAATGCACCACCCMGGCCCAAGCCCTACCATGATGCTTACCCAGGACTAGCAGAGTACGAGGCCGAGCAGAACTCCAAGTGGAGACCGCCGAGCGATGAATATCGGCGGAAGCATGGGGCCGGCCGTTCAACTCTTGCCAAAATCAGAAGGGAGCTCATTGGTTCGGTGCAGCTTGTGGCCAGCGTCGTGTTGGCATGGTATTTCTTTTTGATCTGGCGATGGTGATTTTTGTCGGGTCGGGTCAACCAAGCTACCTTAATAAAAGTAGAAGTTAGGGGTTTAGGCATGGTATAATGACATTGACAGAAAATAATAAATTCCATATAAACCATATATTCTACCTTACGGAGTAGAGGACAGCCGTATGCAATAGCATTTGGGTGCTAGAAGTCCACAAGAGCTGCCACGTCAGTTTACCATAATTTTCTTTGGGTGTGGTTACTGGCTTGACACTTGGAACTCGGGTCAGCGTTTTAAGTTCAGTGGAAAATAATGATCAGCAAGGTTCAGGGTGCGGCAATCACTTAATAGTGTTTGGCTTTGATGATCCTGCCAGGAATCTTGGAAGTCTTGTTTTGTGGCTTGAAGTATCCAATCTACGGGTAGGGAATATTAGACTACTTGTCATGGAAGAGAACTTGACACCACGAGGAAGAGAGGGCACAGGAACTGAGTATCTATCTACCTTATCAGTTGGGAAGAAAATTGAGAGACATATGAACAGATGTGATATCCCTTGCTTTGTCGGGTTACACCCCAGGTGGGGAGCCTGCAGTAGTCCGTTCTACGTCCCTGTGAGTGAGTGATTTATCAGAGAGCATATTATTAGTCTAAGGACTATTATTGTCAAAAGCGACTAAGCCAGCATACTAGACCTTTGGTAATCTGTTACCCATTAACTTGAAGAAACCATGGGTATCTTACTGTATCCTGATAAAAACAACTCCATAATCCCAGTGGCGCAGGGAAAAGACACGTTAGATCCATGGTTCAGGTTCTATTTGTTTCTACTTTCTCATATTCAACCAGTTTCAGACTGATCCAGATTGATCCAGATTGTCCTGTTATTTAGATTGAATTATTGTTACCTAAGTGTATGAACAGAAATTGAAGCTTTACGGAGAGTCCCCATTTTGGCCCCTTCCGCACAGTAAGTCTGGACGCATGTCAGCGGCCAGAAGCAAGGGGGATTTTGCCTCGAGGCCCCAGATTAGAATCAACGGTCAGGTGCGAGAAAATTCTCTCAGCTAGTACTCCGTAGACTAGATACCAAACAAGACTTGATTCTCCGTAGTCAAGCCAAGCCACTGAAATAATTTTCACTTAGCAAGTTATTTTGGGTTTCTATTATTACGTACAACTGTAGAATTGGATGTTTTGGCCGAAGAGTGGCCGGGATCGTGCTGGTGGCCCGAAATGTCACGAGAGGGCCGACAATCATGCCCGATTCCGGCATCTCCAGGTTTTCTTCCCGACTCCGGCCTTGTGCTTCACCTCAGTGTACAAACGCCTCCCCAGGTCCCGCATTCGGCCTTGCCTCGCTTATTTTTCCCCAGTCAACAGGACAGAACTAACAATGCAGAGTGCAGACAGTCAGACAGCCCCGGTCTCATTTTGACGGTTAATTCTGGCCACAGATCATAATGCCGGTCTCAAAGTGTACACCGGCGGGAAGTTGGAACCCGTTCAGGGCCATCAGGGGCCCCTAATTAAAAAGAGGAAAAGTCTATTCCGCCATCGACGTAGCTGATCAACCCCAACAACCAATGAATCGTTCGGTGTTCCCGAACCGAGTGGGTTTCTGGAATACGTCTACTGCACCAACTATTTGTTTTCTGTCTCAGATGCGGTCTGACTTTGGTGCCACCCGCCAATGAAGCCTCAGCTCCTCGGGTTACTTCCCCATCCGAATGCAAACGGCCTCGTGTGTGTCCTCCCGTCCCCACGGGCTTCAGACCGTTTCGGCATCCCAGACGCTGCCCTCCTCGAGTCCCCGTTTTCCTCCAGAGAAACTCCGGACTCCAGACTCCAGACACGGCCGGGATAGTGGAGTCCAAAATCCAGACTCGCAGGCTTCGCAGCTGACTGTTGTCCCGAGGAATGGCCGTCGTTTTGAAATGACTGCGCCTGGAAGCTGATTGCGGCCAACCAGCATTCGTACTTTGCCTCTGTGGATATGGCGGGGTTATCCCCAGGCCGAGGGACCCCAGGTTCTCCTTTTCACTCACGTTGTCTCTCAGGAAGCCCGGTTCGGGGAGTATAAAATCTCTCGCATACCCCGGGTGATCGTCAATTCCTTGACCTCTTTGTTCTCTTCCATTCCATCCTCGACTGCCATTGTGTCATTGTCTTACGATATCTCGTTTGTCCATTGACGAGACTTCCATACTCCAATCCTCTTGGGTTGCTAGTCATAACACTTTGTCCTTTGCACATTACTAGACTAGATTTTCATCATGGGCTTCATGATCAGAAAGCCCGATGATGCAGTGGGCTCTGCAGCTCCTGCCATCATCATCGGTTTGTTCGTTGCGTTTGGTGGTATTCTGTTCGGGTAAGTCTCCTACTCGGCCTCGTTATCACTTTGACACGGCAGCTGACCAGATCACTGCTCATAGCTATGATACCGGCACCATCAGCGGCATCCTTGCCATGAAATACTGGCGCAAGCTCTTCTCCACCGGCTACGTCAATCCGGACGACAACTGGCCCGATGTCACATCCTCTCAGTCGTCGATGATCGTCTCCCTGTTGTCTGCCGGTACTTTCTTCGGAGCTCTGTTCGCCGCGCCTGTTGCCGATTACTTTGGACGACGCCTTGGTATGATTATCAACTCGGCCGTCTTCTGCGTGGGTGTCATTCTTCAGACCGCCGCCACTTCCATTCCGTTGTTCGTCGCTGGCAGGTTCTTCGCCGGGTTGGGCGTCGGTCTTCTTTCTGCGACTAGTATGTTACTCATCTTTCGTCCATCCTGGTGGCCGTGTACTGACAGGACCAGTTCCCCTGTATCAATCCGAGACAGCTCCCAAGTGGATTCGTGGTACCATCGTCGGAGCCTATCAGCTGGCCATCACCCTTGGCCTGCTGATTGCTGCCATTGTGAACAATGCCACTAAGGATCGTATGGACACTGGCTGCTACCGGATTCCAGTTGCCGTCCAGTTTGCCTGGGCTATTATCCTGGTGACTGGTATGCTGGTTCTTCCAGAAACCCCGCGTTTCCTGATCAAGAAGGATAAGCACGAGGCCGCGGCTAGGGCTCTTGCCCGTCTTCGCCGCATGGATGTCAACGATCCAGCCATCATTGAAGAATTGTCCGAGATCCAGGCCAACCATGAATACGAGCTCAGCATGGGTACCGCGAGCTACCTCGAGATCCTTCGCGGCTCCATCGGCAAGCGGCTGGCTACCGGTTGCGGTATCCAGGCTCTGCAGCAGTTGGCCGGTGTCAACTTCATCTGTATGTCCTCGTCATTTCTTTTAGTACTCGGACTTTGCTAATTTTGTCTAGTCTACTACGGAACCACCTTTTTCAAGAACTCTGGCATCAGCAACCCCTTTGTCATTACTCTGATCACCAATATTGTCAACGTGATGTCCACCTTCCCCGGTCTCTACATGGTCGAGAAGTGGGGTCGTCGTCCTCTGTTGATGTTTGGAGCTGTTGGCATGTGCGTCAGCCAGCTTATCGTTGCCATCGTTGGCACTGCAACCTCGTCCGACGTGGCCAACAAGGTCCTGATTGCCTTCGTCTGCATCTACATTTTCTTCTTCGCCTGCTCCTGGGGACCTGTGGCTTGGGTTGTGACTGGTGAGCTGTTCCCTCTCAAGGCTCGTGCCAAGTGTCTCTCCATCACAACCGCTACCAACTGGCTGCTCAACTGGGCCATCGCCTACGCTACTCCTTACATGGTCAACAGCGGCGCGGGCAATGCCAACCTGCAGTCCAAGGTGTTCTTCATCTGGGGTGGCTTCTGCTTCATCGCGTTCGTCTTTGTGTATACCTGCATCTATGAGACCAAGGGTCTCTCTCTCGAGCAAGTCGATGAGCTTTATGGCAAGGTCTCCAAGGCCTGGAACTCTGCTGGCTTCGTCCCCACAGTGCACTTCACCGATGTCCGGGATGTGGCCCAGGGACACGGGAAAGCCAGTCTTTCTCAGCTTGAGGCTGATGCTCAGGAGAAGCACAAGCTTGAGCATCTGGAGAAGGCGTAATCTGTTTTTCCTCTTTTTTTGAAAGCATTCATGTTTGGTTTATTGGCAGTTATTACGGCGCATATGGAGATACCTGGACTTTGATGATGACTGATATGCTAGTTGAATGATAGATGATTAGATCATTCTTGAATTTTGCCATTGTATTCATGAATTCCTAACGTAGTTTCTCCATGACACCAGAGGCGCACCATATCCCGTGGACGCCTCAGGCTGGGTCAGGCACTATGAGCGCATGGCTGGGGAGGCGTAATATGATTGGCTGGTGGGCTCAACAAAGGGAGTAAATGACCCGCTGTCTCCAAAATTCACGTGAAAGGTCCTGAGCTTGTTCTGAAACCGGAATCAGCAAGGAGTCCGTGCACAATCTGGTCGAGATATATTCAAGGATGGCCAATTTCCCAGTCAATGTTCACCATGACCTCTTCTGCGCCACTCGTTCACTTGTGATTTCCCTTCTCCCATTCTCGACCTTGAATATGGTAAAATGAGGCCTTTTCCAGTCTTTACTACATCCACTAACCCCTGACACCGCGGCGATGGCATCACGCATCGCAGAACGGCGCGCCAGCCTCGAACCCACGCAGGAAGTTGAAGATGTTACAATACACAATCGGTCCTCGAGGATCCTCCTCCACAGTGACCCCATCGACGTCCGGCCTCCCACTCCCAAAGCAACAGGCAACCTCCTCCGCTCCAGCCCCGACATGGAACTGAGGAACCTGCGGACCAGTCGCGAAGACGAAAAGGTCGAATCGGCCGTGACTGCAGTGGTGGCGGATGGACTCCTAGGGGACACGCAGAAGCAATTGCAGCCGCAGACGCAATCGCAGCCGCAGCAACGGTACCTGCCCGACACTGCTCTTTCGGCGCATCCGCTGTTCCCACCGCTTCCCTCGTACAGCCCGCCTTCGCTTGCGCTCACGGTGCGCTGTGTGGCGCTGCGGTGTGTCTCGTACATTTTGTCGCTGTTGTTTCTGGGGATCGTTGTGATTGGTGCGCTTGTGGGTTACGCTGGCACGCAGCTGGGTAATCTGCGGATGAGGATTAGCGGTGAGGATCCGAACTCGCGGCGGAAATTTTACGCCGAGGAGCGCGAGCGGCAGTTGAATCGAGAGGAGGAGCTAAGACGGTGGAAGCGGCGGCAGGCCAAGAGGGATGTTGACGAGGAGGCGCCGGATGAGTGTCCGCCCTTGGAGGGCGGGCGGGACTTGCTTGTTTGTGATGTTGGGTATTACGCGCGGCGGGTGGGACTCGACGTGGAAACGTTCAAAGTCCAGACGGAGGATGGTTTTATTATTACGCTGTGGCATGTTTATAACCCGCAGGAGTACACGCCTTTGTCTGAAGACGAGAGAGGGCCCCGAGGCCCCGACGTGTTCACTGGGCGGAAAGGGGTGGATGGTTCCAGTCGAAACCGCCGGTATCCTGTTCTGCTGGTTCATGGGCTGTTGCAGAGTGCTGGTGCGTTCTGCGTGAATGACGATGACAGTCTGGCTTTCTATCTTTGCAAAGCCGGCTACGACGTCTGGTTAGGCAATAATCGCTGCGGGATGATGCCGGAGCATACAACGCTATCAGCTGGCGATCCACGGATGTGGGCGTGGAACATCCGGCAGATGGGCGTGCTGGACTTGACCGCGCTTATTTCGCGAGTCCTGTACGAGACCGGGTTTGAGAAGCTGGGACTTGTGTGCCACTCGCAAGGTACCGCGCAGACATTCGTGGCGTTGTCCAAACACCACCGCCCGGAGCTTGGCGAAAAGATATCTGTGTTTTGTGCTCTCGCGCCGGCAGTATATGCCGGGCCTTTAATCGAGAGACTCTACTTTCGATTCATGCGAGTCATACCGCCTGGCATGTTCCGGGCTATTTTCGGCATCCACGCATTCATCCCGATAATGATGACCGTCCACCGCTTCCTCCATCCTCGCATCTACGGAGCGTTAGGGTATCATGTCTTCGCGCACCTGTTCGGCTGGAGCGACGTCCGCTGGGATCGCGGACTGCGCGATCGCATGTTCCAATTCGCGCCGGTGTATGTCAGCAGCGAGACGATCCGGTGGTGGTTGGGTCGGGGCTCCTTCGCGACGCAGCAATGCATCCTGGCCACGCGGGAAGAAACCCTTGCCGAGATGGAGGAGGATCTCCGTCTGCAACGAGACGGAGACCAAGCGGGCTCGCGGACAGACACCGCCTGGTACGGGCCGCAGACGCCGCCGTTTGCGTTGTGGGTTGCGGGGTCTGATGCGCTAGTTGACGGCCGGCGTCTCCTTCAGCGGTTCCGGAGCGGACGCGAGCCGCATGTGCAGGTGGTGCATTCCAAGGTGATTGAAGAGTATGAGCATCTGGATGTGCTGTGGGCCATGGATGCGGTGGAGCAGGTGGGTAAAGAGGTGCGGGACGTTCTATACATGACCATGCCGGAGGAGGCGCGGAAGAGCTGTCGGGTCCCGAAGGGGTGTTCCTGACACTGCGGTTATATTAATGACTGACGGCTCTAACTTAATGTTCAATAGACATTGCATATATACAGCATATCTAATTCATAGACTATAGCTATACCTACACATTTACGTCATTCCATCAATACCAAGCAACCACACATGATTTCATTAACACAGCTGCCAAGCGCGTGACCACATACCAGACTAACCTAGCCTTTCTCATCAAGGACCAAAGCATACGTACACCCGATATATCCTCTGATTAACCTCAGCACGTACACTGTAGAGTAGCATAATACCCTCGTGCGGGGTAGGACACCATACCAATCGCAACCGCTCATTTCAATCTTACAATGGACATCATAGCCAACGGTCGTCTCCATCCTCATACCGTAGCTATCCAGATACTGACAACGTCGCCTCTTGGAAACTGGAAACTGATGTGCCGCGAACCGAAGTGGGGATTCTGCAGGGGTGTATCTATTCTTGGTGTCGGGTATGACTCGCCGTGCGGGGATGTACATTATTATAGCTACAGTATGCAGTGCTGTAGTGTGAACAGAATAGTAAGGATGCGGTGACGTGCTGGGTAAGCACAGGCTATAATGAGTGCAGGTGGAGAGCGGTTATATACCAGGTTATATGGTATAGTTATAGTTATATTTGGATATCGGTATCGGAGGAGGTTTCCTGACTGAGTTAGGGTTAGCATGGAATTGGCCAAATTCGTCGGCTTGGCTTGAATCTTGGCTGGCTTGGTTTGCTTGCTTTGATTGTATGATGTGATGAGATGGGATAGTATTGTGCTTATTTTAGCTGTTGATTTATGGTATCTTTGGTGATATGTGTGCTGTTGGGTATATGGGTATACTGACTGTACTGGATCTAACTGGACAAGGTACTGACTGGTACTGCAGGTATCGACTGTTGTTTCTATCATAACCCAGGTATGAGGAATAGTCCCACTGATGTCAGCAGGCTTACACCACTATCACATTCTTGATTCTCCAGGCTATCTCACCCCTCAAGCGACCGATTGGCCTGCAACATTCACCTCCCCCCGGCCGCGCGCCGCCTCCCCAACGAGACTGGCCATCTGCCTGTCTACCATCCCCGAGGATCTTCTCATATGAGGGGTAACTGTGCCTGTCGACAATGCCTGAACTGGACTCAACTGGACAGGGAACATTCGTCTCTCAACTCCGGTGAGGGGTACAGACCCTGTCGAATCCGCCTTGTTCTTCTCCTCACTGAACGTGGTATATAAGGGAGTCTGCCCACGCAATGGGTTCGACTTCGAACCAAACCAAGCAGATTTCACAATGAAGCCGATCCACATCTTGCACGCTTTCCTTCTTGTTCTCCCCTGGGCCAACGGCGCCCCCACGGCCCAGCCTTCGAATCCTCCGTTGAGAGGCTCGGAGGATCTGCTGGGCTATTCGTCCTCCAACACCATCACGGAGCAGTCGACCGAGGTCAAGTATACCCTGGTGACTGGACAAAAGGACGATGCGGATAACGGGGTGTATTTTGACTTTGAGGGCGTGGACAATCCCCAGCCTATCCGGGGGAATCTGGGAGGCACGGATCCGGGACCGAGTATGTTGTTTTGCGATTTGCCTTGATGGAAGTGAGTGCTGACAGCGCAGGGAATTCTTACTATGATCAGATCAATAGCGATAAGCTGGCTCCTCCCGGGACGGATCATGGTCAGACGATCAATGCGCAGTGGCCGATGGGTATGCCTTTACCATAGATGGCGGTACATCATGCTAACTTGTTACAGGACTCAGTCATAACAGGTAGGCCTGCCCTCTTAGCTTGAAGACGTTGCTGATGAAGTAGACTCGGCCACGATGGGGCTGGATGGGCCCGACAGGAGAATACCAACGTCATGCCGGACGCAACAGCCATGGCCGGTGTTAATATGAGGCTTGAACCCGGTGCGTACCGGGAGCTGCATTGGCATGTCGCGGCGGAGTGGTCGTTGGTCCTCAATGGATCCTGTCGTATTCAGGTATGTTCTCTTTCCTTTTAATTGATGTTGCTGACCGTCAGGCCGTCAATGAGAATGGGGAGACCTTCATCGACGACGTGAGCGAAGGCGATGTCTGGTTCTTCCCTCCGTGAGTCACCAAGTCACACGGTCATGAACAAACACTGACCTGCTAGGGGCGTTCCTCACTCCATCCAAGCCCTCGACACAGGCGTCGAGTTCCTTCTCGTCTTTGACGACGGATCCTTCTCCGAGGACAATACCTTCCTCGCCTCGGAAGTCTTTGCACACAACCCGAAAGAAGTCCTAGCCAAAGACTTGGGTGTCCCCATCACGGCATTCGAAAACATCCCCGAAGACGAACTCTACATCTTCCCCGGCACCCCAGCCCCCAAGGACATCGAGGCCCAAAACGTCTCGACGGCAGCCGGCATCGTCCCCAGAGCGCAGAGCTACTCGTACCACTTCTCCGAGCAGCCCGCCCACGAAGTCGCCGGCGGATCAGTCAAGATCGTGGATCCAGTAACCTTTCCCATTGCCAGTAACTTTTCTGCGGCCGTCGTGACGGTCAAGCCGGGCGGGATGCGCGAGATCCACTGGCATCCGAGCAGCGACGAGTGGACCTTCTTCATCCGCGGCCAGGGCCGCGCAACGCTGTTCTCGGCACCCAGTACCGCGACGACGTTTGACTATCGCGCCGGGGATGTGGGATACTTTCCTCGGTCGAACAGTCACTATATCGAGAATACCGGGGACGAGGACCTGCTCTTCCTTGAGGTGTTGCAGGCAGACAAGTTCACCGGTGCGAGCTCCCCCTTTCCACCCTGTCTCTAGAGTCATGCTAACCGGATACAGACATCGCACTAGGTCAATGGATTGCGTCTACGCCGCGACAGATCGTGGCAGATACGCTGAAGCTGAGCAATGAGACCTTGAGCAAGTTGAAGACGGACAAGCAGTATGTTGTTGCTGGATAACGTACATAACAATTACATATCAATCATGGATCACGGACGAGTTGAATCAAATCAAGGCGCATATGGTGGCGGCAGCTCCGCCTTCTCATCATTCACACTGGAGTCATCGTCCTCCTCCGACTCGCTCTCCTCCTGTAGAACCTTGTAATCAAGCCTCTCAACCTTTTCATCTGGGGCAAAAGCGTTGCCCTTCTTACTCTTCTATTCAGTGTATCAGCGTATCAGCATAACCCAACCCCAGTCCAAAGATAAAAGGAAACACTTACATCCAACTCTTCAAAAACAACCTCTCCCTCTCCAACCCTCCCCACCAACCGCCCATTCTTCCACACCCCAGACCTCAACCTCATGCCCTTAAACTCCGTCCCGATAACCACACACTCACTCACCTCGCAGTCCGTCAGCTCCGCCCTCTTCACCCGGCTCTGGAACAAAGCCACGTGGTCGAGCTTGCTCCGCCGGATGAGAGAGTGCTTCACAGTCGAGTGCACGACCGTGCTCCGCCGGACGGCGCCATCGCTCACCGTGCTGGCGCGGATCTCGCTCCGTCGCAGACGGCGGACATTCGAGAGCGAGGAGTCGGTTGCGTCGAGTGAGCGGGCTGCGGGGACGTTGATGAGGGTTGTCTTGGTGAGGGTGGAGCGGCGGGCAGAGGAGTTGGTTAGCGTGCAGGTATGAAGCTTGCTGCGTTTGATACTAATGCTGCTTGTAGCCTCGGATGTCCTGGTGATGGAGGTGTTTTCCAGTGTGGAGCGGAATATGGAGTCTGCGGGGGTGAGATTGGTGAAGGTTGTTTTGGTGATGGTGGAGTGGGTGATGGTGGGGGAGGAGGGGGTTGCTTCATTAAGTGGTTTTGCCATTTTGCTGCTGTCTGTTGTCCTTGTCTGTCGTTTCTATGTTTGATGAGGGGATGATCGATAGAAGGTAAGTGAAGGCGAAGTTATGTGTTCTGGAATATGGCTGCCTGGTTTGCTGACGGCCTGATCCCGGCAATATATATATGTTGTCACGTTGTGGCTGGCTATTGATTGTTTGTTTACGAGGTGGCTGATAGTTTTACTACTATTAGTGGACAGCCATTACTAGTAGCCAGTGAGGTTATTCCTATCTTTGGGACAGGTCACTGCGTCTAAGGTAAGGCCTTCTCTTGGTATACTGATTTATTGGTATACTTGTATACCGGTGTAATATATCACGTAAAGGCGAACTAATGGAAATATAATATTATACTATAATATCTTTTAATATAAACATAATAAGGCAAGATGGCCGAGTTGGTCTAAGGCGTGAGGTTAAGGTACACCTTAATACCAAACTCCTAGAGTTTCCTCATCATCGTATGATGGCGTGGGTTCGAATCCCACTCTTGTCAGTACTTTTTTGTTCTTCATTTTTTCCCTCTTTGTTAGCAACATCCCCAATCCCATACCCCGCAATCTCCACATCAAATATTATGACAGACGACTATCGTGAATATTCTTGATATTTCTCCACCACTCTGGTGGGTGCTCCATGCCAAGATGGCTAGCTAATTCTCCGTTTGACGTTTCTCCGTCTGAGTAGGGTCTTGGCTCTCTTGTCTCCGGCCTGAGATAATGTAAACAATCCTCAGGATGTCTTGGAAGTTCTTGGAACATGGTATAAGAGCGAGAGGGTTGCGATCCATCTTCCCGCAGGATGGTATACGTGATAGAGTAAGATAGTATCACACAAGAATGATTTCAATCAGCAAATCCGCGCTGCTCGTAGCGGCCCTGAGCGGTCTTTCCCAGGCGGCCAACTACACGGAATGGATGGCTTCGTCCTTCATGACCAAGAACGTCTCCCTGTCCCGCAACTACGCCAATGGCGTCCTCTACACCGGTATGGAATACGCCTATAACAAGACCAAGGACGAACGCTACTTCACCTACATCAAATCGCAGGTCGATGCTGTTGTCGACCCCTCCGGCGGGCTGATAAATTATCCCGCGTCAACCGTCTCGCTCGACGACATCCGCATTGGCCTCAACCTCCTTTGGCTGTGGACCAAGACGGGAAATGATAGGTACAAGATTGCGGCTGATACCCTCCGTGAGCAGCTGAACTTCACCCCACGCAACAAGGCAGATGGGTTCTGGCACCGCAAGCCCACGTACCCGGATCAAATGTGGCTGGACGGGATTTACATGGCGGAGAACTTCTATGCGCAGTACACCGCGTGGTTCCAGCCGGACAATGCTACCGCATGGGACGACATCATGCTGCAGTTCGATTTGATCGAGGAGCACTGCCGGCTGAAGACCGGATTGTTGGTGCACGGGTATGACGAGAGTAAAGTGGCAGTCTGGGCTGGTATGTCTCCGACAGAACTTCCGGACCTCACCAGATGATCCTGACGCCGTCAGATCCTGTTACCGGCGGCGCACCCCATGTCTGGGACCGCGCGCTAGGCTGGTACTTCATGTCGCTGGTCGACATACTCGACTACCTGCCCCGGTCGCATTCCGGCTATGAGAAGAACCTGCGTCGTTTCCAGTCCCTGGCGAAAGCCCTCAAGCAGACACAGGACAAGTCTGGTGGATGGTGGCTCATCATGGACGGAGAGTACCCGCGTGATCCCCGCAACTACATCGAGAGCAGCGGCACCGCTATGTTTGCGTATGGATTCCTCAAGGGCGTTCGGAAGGGATATATCCGGTCCAATGACTATACGGCTCCCGCGAAGAAGGCGTACAGCCTCATGGTGGATAAGTTCGTGGAGAAGAATGCGAATGGCACACTGAATTGGCTTGGCACAGTGCAGGTCGGCAGTCTGAACAGCAATGGCACCTTCGAGGTAAGTATGAGCCTATAGCTGATTCAAGGAAAAGAGCTGACGGTTGTTAGTATTATATCTCGGTTCCCGTGGTGCAGGATGATTATAAGGGTGCTGGACCTTTCATGTATGCCAGTTATGAGATTGAGGCTGCTTCCAAACAATAGGTGGAAAGGGATGACAGACCGTGGAGGATAACGAAGCGGTCCAAAACGTGGCGGTGTCTTCGGACTCCGGAGAATAGAAATAGCCCTCATTGCTGAGTCAATTTTGAATGTAACAGTGAGACATATTCGTAATGCGGAGCTTTTCTGGATAAGGGGGATTCCCTTGGCAGCTGATGTGAACCTGGTGGATGATGGGGAAAGTTACGTGGGCTACTTTTGCCAAGAGGCCGTTGCAAAAATTATATGGCCACCTGTGCCAAGGAGCCTCGAATGTGATTCCATTACGAACTAATACTGTAGCGTGGAATTAATGTTTGGAAAAACGAGCTCGCCTGACCGGATGAAATAGTGACGGTGGCGTCTCAGTTGAGGCCAGAAAAGAACTGAGGGGTAGCATTGGCGCGAAGTTCATATACCCATGAATCCTTCAATCGAAGAAGATGTGTTGGAGAAAATGGAATCAATCATTGTGCCTGCTCAACCGAATGGTGATAAAAAGATGAATGATATTTTGTTCGTGTTCCCAAGCCCCTAACCGACCAAAGGGAAGCCTTGTCTCAGCTTGGCGTGGTGTATTCCACCAGAGATCGCAGCCTAGGCCTGTGGACCTGTCCATCGACACTGGGTCTCTTTCCTTGGCATGGTCATGGAATAGATTTGGTAGGGATGACTAGGTAGGTTATAATCAAGAAAGCGCGCATCCAGCGGACTACTTAGCAGTCCACGAGTTCACTTTTTGATCACAGTATCACTACTGAATCTATCTATCCATTCCTCTCCATCATCCGTCGACATTGATCAATCAAAACAAGAAAAGTTATCAATATCATGCCGCCTCCATCCAAGCTACGGGGAAGGCCTGCAACGGACTACGAACGATGGCTCAATTTCAATCCCGATCAAGATCCATCCTCTCCTCCAAAATACGGGCCTGATAGGAAGCATCGCTATGTCGACGATTCGTCAGTCAGATATGCTCCAAACCGCCAGCTTATGTTGTAGGCAGCATCCTCCCATTGCTATTATTTGCGACCGTCTAACAACCGCAGCAATGATCAGCACCATTTGCCATTCGGGCATACCCGTCATCATCGAAGAATTGCACATTCGCAAGGGCTAGTTCGAGGCATCACGTTTTTCTGCGCCGTCTTGGTAGTCATACTGGTCATGCGGATGTTCGTGATCTCGCTCATCCGCGCAGCCCGACGACGAAGCGACATAGAGAGACAGATACAAGAGGCATCCCAACGACAGCAAGCCCCTACAACCTACGAGGATAACAACGAATTGGACGAGCTGTGATCAGTTCCTGTTGCAATCCTCAATCCTACCTACGCCTACATGACATCCGACGGATGTGTGGCCATACCATGGTGCCCTCGCCAGCCTCAGGACAGATAGCCGAAGCATCGCATTACCTGACAGACACTCGAATCCCGAATCCCGAATCGACGGGAAAAGTACCGAGCCAGTGTTTCAGACAATTTGCGTGGCGTCGCGCCGTACTTGGCCAAAGTAAAATCTCCAGGCAGCTGGATTCTTCTCAGCATGCGTGTCAGCGGCGAGAACTGCGACTGGATTATATCACCGCCAAGCGCTGTTGAACAATTGGATACAGTGCATCATTCTCCGGAAGGCTTGTTCCTAAGCTTATTGAGGCTAAGCTCAGAATGAGCGATGCTTCGTGATTGGCGGTTGGTGGAGTTTGCACGACAGAATATAGTTGCCTAACTGCCTCGCTCCCGGCATGCATCCCACGCGCGGCACAACCACGTCGATCAATTTTGGAGCGAAGATACAAGGCAACTAGTCTCTGTATATTTTTGTCGATGACCCTGTTTGTAATAGAGATGCCGTGTGCAGTCTCTTGCTGTTATTGAACTAGGATTCTTTTCTCTGTACATATTCTTAAGTGCAGATATTACTGAATCAAGAACAAGCTCCTTACAAACGACGAGTAGTCTATAAAGAAGTCACACTGTGACTAGTATTTTTACCTTCAGGAAGCCAGAACCCACAAAGGAGAGCCCGATGAATGGCGTGCATGACTGTCGAGTTTATCATTGAAAGGTTCTTTTGCCATTTTGGGGCATTTCAAAGCACTCTGATGAAGCTCGTGACTCCACATGCATCCCCACAGGGTCCAACTGCAAGCTCACAACCCCAGTCTAAACCAGTACAACTAAGCGAAGCAGACGTTTCTTAACCCATCCACTGGGATGTGTTTGCAAGTGGACTCTTATCTGACTTAATTTTACATCATTACATGTGAATGATGTGGTAGCCTAGGGCTAGTTTACTCTGAAGCGATCTACGGTGGACCCTTAGACCCTGTACTAGACTGCACTTAGTAACGGGATCGCCGATAACAGAGCAGGATTGAATAGACTACAAGGTCAGGGACTAAGTAGATTAAATGTCTAAGCCACACTATATGGCAAGGTATTAGCAAATAGTTAATGTAACCGTGTCAGGGATGATCTGAGACTAGTTTAATGTGTGTAGCGAATCATTTAGTGGAGTAATGGTCTCAGAGAGAATTTCCACTTAAGCGGAGCTTGCTGGTATGGTTGAACCTCATGAACAAAGACAGGGGCATCTGGGAATCTTTTAATCGTCAGAACCTATGATAGATAAGATGCGGAATATTAATTTATGGCTTTCATTATATGTAAGTGAGCTTGCTATAACAGAAATTGCTTATCAATAATAAAGCATATTCTCAGTCCTGCTCAAAAGACTATTTTCTAGTCTTGGTTAGTCGATCACGCATTCGATGGCCCCGGTAAAACCTACCGAATCTCGATGCTATCCTTAGAGGAAGCAGACCCACAAAATGATATCAGGTTGTTGCTGTCATAGTGATACGGGTTCTGGCGCTCTGCTCCGCACGATAATACACTCGGCTCGGTCTCTGCGGCAATGCGAGGCCAGGTCCACTACTTTGGGCTGTGTTTCTCTCAATTGTAAGTAGGCCCAGGAAGATTGATACTTGTCGGTAATTCCGGCATTGGACGACAAACACACCGTCAGCCCTGATTTGGTTTGGTAAGGGCTATATCGTGTCCGTCCCGAGGGCCATGGTGCTCACATAGATCGATGTATCGTTGAGATCTGTGTCGGGATTCTCGCTTGTGTTCGTCTGATAGGGACGAGGAATAAACCCKGTTCTGGTGACTGGACCAACGGTCTCTTCAACCATTCAATGGTGATTGTACCTTAGGTGTTGCCCAGGTGCTGAAATTCTAGTCCCGAATGTTGTAACTAATAGATATGGGACTTTATGTATCATTCATCGTCGTCAATTTCTTCCCTTGGGATGAATTTCTCCTCCTGCAGCTCTAAGCAAGCCCTTGTCGAGTTAGACTTGAACTACTAATCTTGGAAAGGAAACTGCAAAGCGCAAAAAGCAGAAGTAAGATGGATCGAGGATCAAAGTCATCACGACTGACTTCCGAGCCAGCGCTGTCCAGTGTCTTAATAGGCAGACGTGGCGTAGGATCAGCGTGAGAGCTAACTGGGTCATCGGGTCCATCTCTTGGTTCACTGTATTCGAAACAGCAGCAGGACGAAATCCACCTTTAAAACCATCATACTGGTAGACATACTGAGCGACTGTCTTAGTGCCCATCATTGAGGCTTTGCCTATGCCATGTCTTTAAGTGTGGAAACGACATATGAAGATTGTTACCGTACATAGATAATGAAAGACTAGATTTGTGTTTACACTCTCGAAATACAATAGGTTTGCGACACCAAAACAGTCAGAGTCAACTGACGATGTTACTATTTCTGTCGATTTAGGCGAGAGGTCACTCAATTCCCCCAAATGCTTGTCTTTCTTGTCAACGAAGCCGAGGCCACCGCTTTGTTGTCATTGTTGAGGAGGTAGCAAACCTTCAATGTCTTCTGCAGACGCCGTGTCCACTGATGGGTCGTTGACCACTCATATCGATGGGCAGTGACAAATGCATCGGGTGGCTCGCACACGCGTCAATGCCGTTGATATTTCATTCCTCGATTCTTGAAGTCATTCTCGCCTCTCGGATTCAATACGTCGATGATGAACCAGATTATATGAGCAGGAGCCTTAGCTCGAGATCTTGCCAACGACGACACGACGCATCGAGGAAGTCGCTAATAGGTTCGCTCCGCAGCTAGATGAGACATCTATGCTATAACTGTGGCATTGCGGCCATACACCTTTGGGATTACCGAGGATCGTCGAGGAAGACTTGAAACAATTGGGTAGGTCTTCATGAAGGCGTACAGGTCCAGACTTTAAAATTCTTGGACGTGCGCGAGCAGCTCGTTCATAGCCAAGCGACTGGCATTCTGATGGATATAATGKCCAATTATGGTAAGACTGACAAAATGCGCTTGATTCATCGCTCTTTACGCCTGCGAGCGAGGAATTTTCGTGTCCGGCTGTCAATGCGCCACTGGGATATGTATGACATGTCATACACAAATGGGACTTGGCTACCTGTACTGTCACCAGTAACAAGTAGAATCACCAATGATGATTTATCCGCATCGAATAGCTGAACAGTATGCAAATGCAAGGCACACGGATCTGCTGTTGCATGTTGTGTGCCCTAATTGACTTTTGACAGGCTTTATCTTGACATGCACATCACGAGAGAAACATATATATGACAAAAAGGGAAAATTTGCTGCTCTGAAAGAAATGCTCTGGAATGTTTGCAAAAGTTTTAAGCCTGCAAGTATGCTCATCCAGAACCCCGACCAGTGTATGACAACCCAAGTTCAAATCCCAACAGTCGACACCATATCAAAGCACCCAAGCCACATCTAATGTATCACACCGCCATAAACAAGCGTCGAAGTATAACCATGGTTCCCAAAAGGTATATATATGCCATTCACTATTATGACAGCAGCGAAGGGTTAGAACTTCACATATCTGCGTATCGGGGAGCGGCGATCTCTCCGGAGAAAACACTTGACTTTTGATCTCGCAATGATTGGAGGTCTTTCACTGGCACTGACGAGATAGGTTCGATTACTCAATGCCCGTTCAAGTAGGCGAAGTAATTCTTGGTGGAGTTGCTGGGAATCGATTCGGTCGTTCGGCTCGATACGAAGCATTTTCTGCATGATCAAACATAAGAGATCATAAAGCATATCAGAGCATCGTTCATCTTCTGATAACCGGGTCACCCATGCCTTTACCGATGGCCGCACGTCTCTGAGATCAGCCGTGTAGAAGTAATCTTCACTGAATTCATCCGTCTCACCACGTTCGGCACCGCGAAGCTCGGCAAACTCCACGATAGCATCGAACCCAAGTACTATCCAGGTAATGAATTCCAAATATAGACAGCCAAGACTCCAGATGTCCCACTTCCGGGATATGCGAAGGTTGCGATGATTGTCTGGAGGCCTATAGGTTTTAGTACCACGCACGCCGGCCGGGTCACCGTTGGATACTGAGCCGATGCTATGGAGACTAGCCAGACCTAGGTCCGTGATTTGCAATATTCCGTCGGTGTCAGTGCATCCTGGATAAGATGGGAACCACACGATATTCTCTGCTTTCAAATCACCGTGACGTCCGAAGTGACGGCCAGGCTGACGTTCGTCCGGCAGCTGAAACCCGTGAATCAAAGACAGCGCGCTTGCGAGGCCCGTCATTTGCTTCAACGACCACAAGACTTTCTGGTCGCCAATCTGTTCGAGTGGGATTTCGCTCCAATACTTTCGTAGGTTCTTGTCTGCCCATGGAAATACCAGGTGAAACTTGATGCCCTTCTTATAGGTAAATAGAAGACTGATCAGATGAGGATGGGGCCCGGACGTTCTCCGAAGGGTAATATGCATATCGCGCTCACTTTGAAAACGCGAAGGGTCAGAAGAAAAGAGTTTCTTGACTGCAACTACGGCTTGTCGATCCTAGCCATAAAGTCTTGGTGTTAAATCGGTCTCTATCACAGGCATCGTTGAAGTTGAGAATGTCCACTTACCTCGCGAACAGGAAAATTCCCGGTATAATGCGCAGGATGTATAAAGGTCTGAAAGACATTACTGAAACCACCTTCGGTCTCAATTTGCCTCCGGTCCGTGAAAGGTAAGATTTGATCACCCGGAAGATCGTAATGTTCCCCCAGCTCAAACACCGGAGCCAACATACGCCATTGCTTTTGCGCCAGACTTCTGACCTCAGAGTCCTGCCATTCACTTGTTGTCCTGATATCGCGGCCTCCGTTTGTTTGCAGTGTCATTCGTTCGCTTCCAGCTCTTGCAGGCTCCTTCAGGACGAAAGGCAAATCGGTGTCACTTATCCCCTCATCCAGAAACCTGAAGATATCAGCACCTCTTTTCCTGCTGACGAGGATTGCGAATAGTTTCATAGACGTCTGGACAATTCTCCTGGCCGCATAAAGATCTTGCACCCAGCCCTCCTCATGAAGTATGTCCTCCACTTTGGATTCGGTGATAAGTTTTCTGAGCCTGGACAGTGGGACATAAATTGCATGCCCTGATCTGTAAGATTGGATGCTCGCGCTGGATAAGGACACTTGAAGGCCGTGGAGACGACTAGAAGGGCTGGGGATCACATCCAGCAAGGAAGATTGCGTCGATACGGAGCGGTCAGATTGTAGTCCGGGTGAGGACTGATCGTCCAAAGGAGCGCCAGAGCAATGCGGACCGAGTTCATCAACATTGACATGACTGTCAACGACCGATACGTCCGCAGATGGGAAGGATGAATGATTATCAGAATTAGGATTCGTTCCAGACCGGGGGGACTCTTTGCCGCCATGGTGTCGAAACAAACGTATGAACGGTTGAAAAAGACAGCGTAAGAAAGCCATTGTTGAAATGTATAACAATGTGCACAAACCCAATGTATCAGGATTTGATTGATGATTGTTTGTAACCTTGCCTGGCGTAGAGTATGAGACAAAACATGGGTAAAGATCAGTACAACGCCGGCTGAGGAGCAAACCCCCAAAGCACGTCAAAAGGCTGTAATATAAAATGACAAGACTGGAAGAGCAATTTCGCATAAACCGATAGTGGGATTGCTGTCGAAGTTTGAAAACAGAAAAGCAAGGAGAAACGGAGAGGTGATGACCAGTTGAGGGGGGAAAAAATTTGCTCGTCGACTCTGTTTGGAAGAAGTGAACCAGATCGTCAGAGTGCAGAGTAATTTGCATGGGAATGGTTGCATTTAATCATGATCTGCCGTTGCATGGTTGACACACACGAGCGCCGACAACGGGTTCTGGGGGCTGTGAGAAGCCAAGAGACCAGTCTGCCTCTTGAGGTGACCAGTCATGATACCTGCAATGGATGCCAGGTCAGGAACGAGTCAATCATATTTCCGGCTTTGGCTCTCAAGACAACGGGCACATAAATGAAATCTGCTCGTTTCGTTTCCGATTTGGCGAATCTTGATCATGGATACGATGATGGTGGAATCTTGGAATTTGCACTAGACTACATTTTGCTTCCAATCTTCTCAGAATGACGCCCCCTCCTCCCGGCATTGTTTATACTGACGACGTCTAAGCAGGTGGCAAATTGCGGGTGCTCCTCAGTTGACTCGTTTTATCGGACAGCTCAATAGTGTGCTTTGCTTTCTGAAGTCGAACTCGCACAAATTGAGGCGCGGCTTGGACGCATGCATCTGCACTGACCGCAATGTCGTACCTACCTCAGTACCAAAGGTAGTTGTGCCAGTAAGCAGGTGTTTAAGAGGACAGGAACCGAAGGAGTTATGGTTCGCTTGTTCGCTTGCATTAGCGTAGACTGTGAGCCGAGTCTCTTGAAATTATCCCCGCGCTGAGACCACCAGAGTCTTCTCTGCTTGTCAGTACCGTTTCCTTTGCTACTGGTCCTGCTTACACAGACAAAGGTACGATACTGATTTTGGTCTAGGAGTCCTACAGAAATCATACAGATATGGTTAGACTTTTTCTAAAGGCGTCACTGCATTTCGAGTGATGTATAGACGTGAACGAGGAAGAGAGGCATCTCCCGGGATAGGCGCGGTTCCTCGAGGTCATCATGGTCGTGGTAATGTGTCTAATGAGACCGAACTCAGCCGAGCAGATCTGCCTTCCCCAGGTCGGCCTTGCCTGCCCTCTTTCTCTAAACTGCCCTGCTCCACTTTCCTTCCAAGCACTGCCTCGATAACCTGGTATCGGTCGCACAGCCACCAAGTGATGACTGTCAAAGCTGTCAGAGGAGCAGATACGACAGCTAAAATCCAGACTTGGTGAGAGATCTGCAAATTGCCCTCGTCGTTGAGATGCACAAACTGCGTTGAGAAGAAATTCTGTCCCAGTGTCAATGTAAATCTTGGTTTGTTGTACTTTCACTTACTGATACTATTGTGGTTGGCAGATACACGAGACCGATGATTGTCAAGACCTTGACCGCTGCGGCATCGCGAGCACTTTGAGCCTACATTAACGCCTTTGTCGTCAGCCGTCTAAGAGGGATAAGCGATTATACGAAGGCCGTCTGTACTGACCGCCAGCTTCACCATCTCCTCACTCTCAACACGGGAGGCATACGAAAGCTGTGTCAAAGCGGCTGCCTCTTCATAAGCAAGCAGATCTGAGAGGTGCAAGCACTGCGCAACAGGTCATAAGGGTGACAAATCTTCTGGTTCGAGCTGGTAGATGTCTTACCAGTTGCTCTGTGGATTGAACGCGCTCCCTTAGCACCATCGCGCGGTTCAAAGATGTCTGAGCTTCTGCAGCATACTCTTCAAATTCTTCGATCTTGTGACTACAGAAGCAAGAGCCTGTGCCAGTGCAACTGGTTCGGCAGTGCCGTCTGCAGGCCTTGCCGATGCGTCTGATAGAGTCGACCATTATCTGGAGGATAACCAGCATATCGGTGATGTAATCATCTAATTGCTTCAGACGCTGCCGGTCTTCGGCACTGACATATACGCTGCGAGGCTCCTCATTGTTTCCTCTCGGAAGGATATCGAGGACTAAAACTCGGTCTGCCTGGAATCCATCTTGGTCAGTGCCATCTCTCTTGATATAGACTTCAAACAATAAATATTAGAAGGACGCAGCATACTATTTGTTTGGACTCGTCCTCTAGCCAGGTCTGATAGTCCATCCAGCCTTTCATACTGTCCCCGACGATGCATTCATGGATAAGAAAATCCTGGCCGAATGTGTCATCCTGAGACACGTTATCGGGGAGACGCTGCGCGATAGATTTTTCCGCCGCATGCGAAGGCGCAATGAGGATGAAGACAGACGTGCTGCGTATTGAGTTCTCACGATATCGGTTGGGATATACCATTTTATGGTAAACTCCCGTTTGACGTATCGACCATGGACACACTCCTTTATCCGTCCGATTATTATTGGGTTCCACGCGTCGGATCACGTAGGCGAGCTCTATCCCATCAATCAACGTCCCTCCGGTTTAGAAGCAACGAAGAAGATGCAGGGATCCTCACCATCAACCCGGCTCTGGGTATTTTGCTCGTTGTTCGCTCGGAGGGGTGGGAAATCGTACTCATTCTCCTGAAATTTGATCCCAAACGTCAATATGCATCGCCAAAAATGATCGAACACATTATGGACTGTTAAGAGGTGCTCGATAGTCTCGTATGAGATGTCCAGCGTCGTCCAAGATCGTAGGTGGCGGACTGTGTAGATCTGAATGCACCCGGAGGCATCGTTGCCTGTCTGTATTCGGACGAGTTACCAATTAGCATAGGATGCCTTAAGAGCTGTTCTTCGACCGATGTACCTCTTCGACCTGGCGTAACTCTGAGAGGTCATTGATTTTGACCGGTGATTCCAGTTGAACAGACCAGCGGCCGTTGGCGTCTCTCGACTTGTATATTGACGTGAGTTCCAGTTGTGGTCGACTATTATGGGCCTTGAAGAGCCGGTCTCTTTTGGATTGAACCTTGTCCATCAAATACTGATCGATGCGAGACCGATTAGACAGACAGACCATGGTGGGAGTGTCTGGTGCGATGATGTCGCAGCCGATCTGGCCCCTGACTGCATACGTGACATGGCATCCTATATACCACTCGACAAGGAGCCCAATTCTGTGAACTCTGGTCCGTTACTACATGGGATACAACGTCTACTTTACTTTACCGCGAGGCTTGATTTAGACGCAAGAAGGCGCCTGTGTCTCTTTAGCCACGCGTTGAAGAGTCAGATCATGGTGACTCTCATCTGACGAGGCTGACACCATGCCCGTGCTGTATTCTGTCTCTATTAGCCACTGAAGGCGTAACAACGATTAGACTAGGGTACGAAGGAGATAATGGTTGCTTGACTATCAGGCTGAAAGATGGCGGAAAAGAACACAGGCGATACGCTTTGTACCACCCGGCAAACCCGGGCAAAAACAACGAGGGGCTGCTACCCGTCCTGTCCGGCCAAGGCATGTTTTGCGCCAGGTAGTGTGACCAACCGCCATAAATTCTTCTTTTAGTTATTGACTTGGTTATCGCTCAGCTCTACGGCATGTGCCTGTATATGATTGGTCATAATTCGATATAATCCCTGTTTCATGCGTAAATGGTCACTCACACCGTCACAATGACCCAGGGCTATGCAGGCCTTGAAATCGCCTCTGGGAAGGCTGCTACAATCAAAAGAGGTCTATGGAGAGGAGAAGTACGCGTATGGTGTGACCAGCCACCAATTGATTCCATTATATCATCATACAAGTTAACCTGAATATAGACAATATGAAGTCGTCCGCCGGGCTGATTCTGCGAGCCCCGAAGAAGAAAAATTGAAGCAAGCGTATTAGGGGGTGTACCACCAGTACCACCGTATATACCCATGCAGAATCCCTTAGGTCCAATACCTTTCTCTACTCGGTTCCTTTAGAACCTCGTATTCAGTGTGGTTGAGCCTTTGCCCTTGATGTTTTGAATGTCCAGTCCAGCGTGGTTTGCAGCTAAAAGTACACCCGGCAGTCATTGATCATCCCCTGTATCGGAGATCAGTCTGTTGAGGGGGGAAAAAAAGACAAACGACACTTACATCTATCAAAATCGATGTTTGCTCTCTTTGATGGTCGGGAATGTAAATTTTGTATTGATCCAGGCGTAACTGTTGCGCATTGATCAGCATTTTTTCCTGGTATTGCTCATCGAACAATGTCAGTCACCTCTACTCGAAAATTTGACTGACCATACTCTTTCCTGAGCATTTTCACCAGTTTTCGGGAATCCATATATTTCCCCTCGACGATTCGAAAGGGCGTGGGGCTGTAAGGACAACTTCCGCCCATCTTAGGATGCGTTTAACGTATATTTGTAAGACTTACCCACGAAAACAAAAAAGATCAAGAGAAAGACGATATGCGTTGTCAACCATACATGATAGAAACCATAGCTACGGTAATGATGGGGATGAGCATTTTAAGTACCTACTCTGTGTCTGACCTTTGACAATGATAAGCAAATATGCATCCCCCCCTTGCTCAAACTTGCCATGCTTGTGCAATCCTTCCTTCCGAGACTCATCCCTACACCCAGCCACATCTCTACCAATAAGAGGTTACTTGAGTCAGGCCGATCCAACAGAATCAGGCTGAGTGGTACATGACAAAATTTCATCCTAGCGCAAGAAACCATTATTAGCGCCTTGTGACTCCCACGCAGACGCCCCCAATCATGAATATCCAGTCATCAAGGGTTCGTCTCTTCCGATATTGCATGTGAGCAGCCAACCAACCTGTGTAAGACTCTGCGGTGCTGTGATGTACCAAATTCCCATCTTTATCTACGTGTCGCATTAGCCTGTTACCGCATAGGTGGCCTTGCACCGCCCCGGACAACGCGGGATGACGGGAAGTCTAAAAGCAAGCAGACAGGGGTGGCATCCTTAGTGTGAGGAGCAAACACGAGGCGATATTACTCATCCTTGACTACTCCATATGGTGTAGGACAGAACTTGGACACGGGCAAGTACTTCGCACTTACTTGGACTGTGTAGGTTCTCCTGGGAAATCGCGCCCTCAGCAGCGCCAGCAACTTCTGTTCGTCGATGTAGCGGTTCGTGAATGACTGCTCGACCATTTCTGCGTTTGCCCCTGTGGCTTGGTTCGGGTCTCGTCAGGTCATAGGGTGATGCTGATGCTGATGCTGATGTTCTTGATTATGGGTAGGGGCTGGGGTTCTATTCAGGTATCCTGATGGATTCAGCCTTGATTTATGTCGGGTTCTTGCGTGAGATTGAGCCGCATCTATTCTCTCGTTGCTTGAAGTGTAAGTGCCCATGTCCCATGATATGCGGTGCACTTTGTTTGCTTGTTCGTGTCATGGATGTGTTGGATGGGTGTTCGATGCGGAGTTGCCGGTGGCTTTGGGAGACAGGATACTGTCGAGGTGGAAGTAGATAGGATTGGAGATCGTCGTTGACGTGGTGCATAGGTGTTGGAATAGAGGGCGGATGGAGGGGTGCAAGGCTGCATCGGGCTGTAAAGCAATACCTTACTTATGCAATGACGGCAGATGACCAAAGACATTCTGAAGGAAGAATAAGAAATGGTTACTGGGGTGTTCATCTTGTCGAGCTTTTATTGATTGCTTTGGCTACTCGTGGTTGTATAGTGTAGACTACTGGATGTTTCATGTAGCATGTTTATTGGTCTGATATATTGCTGATTGGCAACAAGAACTGATTGGTTGTATCTTGATTTCCATGCATGCAATGCACCTTAGGCCTGTGTCCCGTCATTCGTGCTTAGTGGTTCAAACAGAGGGAGGGGGTGTCCTCTATTAAGGCAATGGCCTGGTCTTCGAAGTGGACAGGAGGTCGGGAAGTACATCCTGCTCTGTTGGAACAGGTCGATTTAATGGACTTTGTAAGGTAAAAGAGCATTAGATTACTCGAAGGAAATAAACGTATCTACCAGCCCAGAATCAACTTCTCTCCTAGGCATACCAGCATCAAATTAGGATACACACGCCATGGCTAGGAACTGCATATCCACTAGCCTACTTGTTATAGAGCTTCTCTCAGACGAGCGAATTTCGGTTTCAAAGACTGTACTTGTTGGTAACAGATCTTCAGAACACACCAAAAAAACTCAGAACATGATATAAATACAATCGGATGAAATTCTCACTCATTTCCTGGCCTATTCGGATTCCGGCACTCAAATGGTCAATTGAGCGACGACACTTGATAGGTATACTTGAACCTCAAGACCGTGTACCTAGAGCTTAGAGCAGCCGAGAGCGAGGGTACCACCCTGTGATCTAAGTCAGGATCAATGGTTCTCACGAGCCAATGGAATCTCGGAAGGAGAACATACCAAGAGGTTGGCCTCCGTGCAGCATTGAGGAGCAGAGGAGCATTCTTCTGTCCATGGGTGACCTTTACAAGGAACCCGTTAGTACAGGTTGATTGGCAAAGCATATTTGGGTCACTCACAGAGCAGTCCAACGGAACCAACAACCTGGGCAGCATTGATGCCAAGACCAAGCAGAATAGGGTCCAAAATGGGGTCCAGGGGAGTGGTCAGGGAACCACAGCACAGACTGGTTCCAATGCAATGGGACGGATCTGTGGCTGTTCCCTGGTCCTCCACTCCCTGGACCTTGCCTGCGATCTCCTCCACCTTCGACTTCAGCGTGGAGGTGGTAGGATCCTCGACGGGGATAGCCGCGGTGACGGCTACAAGTGTGAGAAAGGTGAGAATGGAGAGCTTCATATTGAATGGGTTTGACGGTTCCGGTGAGATATGCGGAGATAGAGGATGTTCGAGGGTCTCAGCTGGAGAATGGCTTGTCTATGAAAAGGACCTCGAGGTGATTTCGAGCTCTTTATACCCTCGCCGGTAGATAAAGTCACCCAGGGAGCCCTTTAAGAAAATCTTTGAGATGGTCCTGGAAGCCAATCATGTTGTCATGATCCTTATCTTGAGCATCCGGAAAGATGAGGTTGGGAGTACATAACGAGAACCGGGAAGACGGCGCTGATAGCAAACATCAAATTCCGATGACTTGGTTGAAAGAAGATCTGCCCATTAAAGGATCCAAGGCAAGTAGGACCAAGAATTGAAAGCATAGATAGAGAGCGACAATGCTGTAACCGAGGACCAAGGGTATATCATGTGGCTCGGCGCTGGGACGATCGTCACCAGGAACTGTAGTTTCCCAAGAAAACGTTTGGTCAGGTCCGTAGTCCTTTTGGAGGCGGACAGCACTGGAGGCCAGAAATAGGTAAATCCAATATTTTAGTAAGAGATCAGTAGTTGAGGGAATAGAGTGATCCAGCAACTCATGTGAGAATTCCTTATCTCAGTGGATCAGGAACCCTAAGGGAACTCCGGGCTGGCGCCGAATCGGATCAATGATGCGCTGATGATCGGCGGCAAGGTACCAGCGATCTATGGAGTCTATGAAGGCTGTGAACGAGAACTTAATGTGCTCCATACTGAGGCCTTAATAGGGAACTAAGCGAACCATTGACAATAATTGAGTTGTTTTTGGTTTTGAGGATATTGCATGGTGGAGCCCTCTCATCTCGCATACCAATTCTTGGAACATTTGGACGAATGAGGTGCGAATCATGTGCGGAAATGACAGTATTAAACAATGATTAGAATAAAAAAAAAAGCATAAACGGTTGATGGAACCAGGAGTAAAATGTGAGTGAGGCGAGAGTGCACGTTACTAAGTATGCCAAAATGCAAGTTAATGTTCCGAATGTACTCGGCGAGTTACAGTGTAAGAGGCCAGAGCCATTATTATTGATAGAAGATGCGCACGCCCTGTAGGCATAACCATGGACGGGCAGGTAATCAGTCCATCCATGGACAACGAGGCCGTGTCCAAGGGGTGACTATAGTGACACAGCAACTGTCTTAACACTCTGTATGGACTGCTCTCAACTCAGGAAACATTTTCAAATATTCGACTTCTGGATGTATATAATTATGAGAATAATTAACTGGCAGTAACTACTATTTCAACTCATAAGAGGTAAATGGTGTTAATATTCAGTTGCTCTTTGACCAGTAATCAATCTTATAAAAGTTCTGCACATTGCACATTAAAATCCAGTATTAATAGAGCTGCAAGAGTAACAGGGTTAATGATAATGATTACGGAGTAAAGCAGGTCAGATCATGAAGCTATACACTGAAAGGAGTAGATATTCCCAATTGGGTATAGTGGCGGTGGCGCTCAAAGCGAGTGTGGCTGATTGAGCCAAGGCCACCAGCCACAGGGACACACAACCCGCAACACAAAAATTCGGGATCGCGAGAATCGTCCCGCTGCCAGCGCACACACCGTTCGCCGTTTCTTCTTGATACCACCGACATTTTCTGTCACTAGGTATCTGTCCTAATATCGATCAGACATCATGGCGCCTATGTCCATTGCAGACCTTGTGGCTGCCCTCCCCGCTGAGGACACCTGGGGCCCCGCCACTCCCTCCGACAACATGCTCGATGGCGTTCCATACGCTCCCTTCTCCAAGGGTGACAAGCTAGGCCGTATGGCTGACTGGACGGGGGATGGCAAGAGTGACAGGGGTGGCCGTCAGGCATACAACCGGAATTACAGAGGTGAGTCCAATTGTCCCGCATGTCTTTGAGATGGTGTACTGACCCCGACCAGATCAGCAGGTTTACGGCGCAGGCACCTCCAGCTTGTTCAACATCCAGGTCGCCGAGGACGAGTCTTCCTTCTCCGTTGTTGACAACACCCGCACATCGACCAAGCGTACCTTCGCCCGTGGTGGTGGCACCGTCTTCCGTGGCCGCGGTCAGCGTGGTGTTGGCCAGAGGGGTGGTCGCGCTGGCTTCCAGAGAGTCGGTGCTGGCCGTGGCCAGGGCGGCGATCGCTACTATGACAACCGCTCTGCACGCGGCAACCGTGGCCGTCGTTTTGGCTGGAAGGACTATGACAAGCCGCAGAGAACCCGTGAGCCCTCGGTCAACGTCCGTCCTGACTGGACCATGCTGGAGGAGGTTGACTTCAACCGGCTGTCCAAGTTGAACCTTGAGGCTCCCGAGGGTGAGGATCTGGAATCTTATGGTTTCCTCTACTACTACGACCGGTCTTACGACAAGGCCCCCGTCAAGAACGCCGAGCGCAAGCTGCAGGCCATGGAACGTGCCGCTTACAACGTCACCACTTCTCAGGATCCTGTTATCCAGGAGCTTGCCGAGAAGAACGAGGCGACCGTTTTCGCCACCTCGGACATTCTGTCCATGCTTATGTGCGCTCCTCGCAGTGCCTACTCGTGGGATATCGTTATCGTCCACCAGGGCGACAAGATTTACTTCGACAAGCGCGAGGGTGCTTCCATCGACTTGGTCACTGTCAACGAGAATGCTGTAGATGCCCCTATTGAGTCAACTGACTCTTCCGGCAAGCAGGAGTCGATCAACACCCCCAGTGCTCTCGCTCTGGAAGCCACATTCATCAACCACAACTTTGCTCTGCAGACTGTGGTGGAATCTGAGGAGTCCAAGGTTACCTTCAACCACCCGAACCCCTTCTACAATGCCGCCGAGGAGACAGAACCCCTTGCCTCCAAGGGATACAAGTACAGACGGTTCGACCTGTCCCTGCAGGGTGACGAGGAGCCTCTCAACATGATCGTCCGTACCGAGGTCGACGCCGTCATGAAGAACCCCCTAGGCGGCGAGGACCAGCAGCTGATCGTCAAGGCTCTCAACGAGTTCGACAGCAAGGCTCCCGGCTCTGGTGGCGCTCTGGACTGGCGCAGCAAGCTCTGGTCTCAGCGCGGTGCCGTCGTGGCCACCGAGATGAAGAACAACAGCATCAAGCTCGCCCGCTGGACCACCCAGGCCATCCTGGCCAAGGCCGACGCCATGAAGCTTGGTTTCGTCTCGCGTGCCAACCCCCGTTCTGCCACCTCCCACGTCATCCTTGGTGTTGTCGGCTACAAGCCCCGTGAGTTCGCCGCCCAGATGAACCTGAACCTCGGCAACGGATGGGGTATCGTTCGTACTATTGTCGACCGTATCCGCTCCCTCGATGCCGAAGAGGAGGAGGACAAGGTCAAGAAGTACGTCCTCATCAAGGACCCCAACCGCCCTGTCATCCGTCTGTACAGCGTGCCCCCCAACACTTTCGAGGAAGACGACGAGGCCGCCGAGGAGCAGGAGGAGAAGGCCGAGGAGGAGTCCGAGGAGTAGATCTGTTGATATGATTCGCCATGATCGTACGGAGTATAATGATGTCTTTTCGATTATAGTGTGCATATTCAAAAGTTGCTTAGATTGATGGCAAAGCCAGGCATTGTTCTTCTTGCAAGACTGCCTTCTACCCGGGTCTTTAATCATTCCCTCCTGCAGAGTATTGTAGATTCGATATTCATTGTACCAATTCTATCTTTCTTCGACAGAGATAGCGAAGCCGTCTGTATCGGCTTCAGTCACGGCTTATTCCCCCTTGAGGATCAGTCGCGTCCTCCGAGGCTTTCCCGCTCGGAGTTTCTTCGCAAAAAGTGTCCCCTCCAACACAACTCCTTCTCCAAATTAGGCTGTTCCTCCGAAGTGAAACAAGCCAAACCTTGATTCCCAGTCCGAGGGGCCGCACTCCACATTCCGCACGGACAACCCGTTCGTTCCAAGCATTCCGAGCTGTATCAAGTTCTGGACCCAATCGATCAATCCAGATTGTCGGGTGACTGGCATTCCAGGCTCAAGGATACAGCCAAACCAGCATTTCTACTTCGTAACCTCAATCTCGTATACAATTGGTGAGATATGGATATGATCGACCTTAGATGTCTCGGCCATGGGTCAGAATTCGCCAGCCAGGATAACGGGTCAATTATCGGGTTTGCGAAGGAGAAGACGAAGGTTCACTACTACGCTGCGCGGTGGGGTAGTGGTGTGTGATGGGGCGTTGTTGACCATGGCAGGGAATTTACTTATGGGTGACGAGGGGGATGCGGCGGAGTGGCGAAAAGTGGCTTGTCTCGAGATTAGAGTATGAATGAGGGAGGACTCTAGGTGTGTGGGTATGCAGGGGCGGTAGCGTGCAGGACTGCAGGTTCTTGCCTGTGTGCTGGATTGGTCGAGAAGGCTGTCAGGGCGGGAGAGTGTTGAGTCTGACGGGCTGTACATGAATGTCTAGATCCTAAGGTAGAAACTAACTTGATATATGTGATCAACTTCAGCAGTTCAATCAATGAAAAGCTAGTGAGTAGCTGTTTTACATGCCATACATTGGCCTGCAGAAATTAGACGTGAGGATCAAGGTAATCCTCGAGCTGAATCCGAAAAGAAAAAGGGAATTTCAGGAGAGACAAAGGTCAAGGAGAGATCGAAGAGCAAAGAGTGGCAAGTCAGGCATCCCAGACGCCAGAAGATAAAAGAACCAAGAACCAGTCATCTGTTCCATGGAAGAAAAAACAAAAGAAAAGAAACGAAAGGAGGTTAAAAAGAAAGGAGAATGGCCAAACCTTCCATTCTACTTACATCCACTTATTCTGAGAAGAAAGAAACTCCACACTCCCCAGTCCGCTTGAGAAACAGAGGTATCAAATATCGCATCACGAGTACATCGTATCGTCTCCGGCGCAGGAGAATCTCGTATCCACCTTAGACCCCAGGACACTGCTTAGACAGTCCATGAGCTCAAAGTCTTCGACAACGGCCCCAAAGCCGTAACATCGTACTTTGGTATTGAGCGTCTCAATGATAATCTTGACATCATCCTTGGTTAGAGTGCGATACAGTTCGTGGTTCTTCAGACACTGCAGCGCCATGATTGGGGTGATCTGGCCCTCTGTCACGAGCTGCCGGCTGAGATTGAGTAGAGTCGTCAGGTTGGCATGCGGAAGATCGTAGGTTTTGTGTGGATAGGCTTGTGCTGGCGTTGTGTTGGCGATGTAACTCGGCGGGGGGCATGTGGCCATCAGAGCGTGGCCTGAGAATGGCATGTCCTCGTCGTCTGCCTCGGTGACAGATCTTCGGCACAGATAGTCGGTGTGTTCGCGGCAAGGGGATTCCAGTCTACACTTGTTAGCATTGACCGATAAAGACGGGTAGGCGGGCGCAGGGCAGCATACGTGAGTATAAAATCGATTTGAAGCTGGGGATCCACTTCGAATATACCCCCAACAGCCGGTACAGGTTCTTGATTTCGAGCAATGGCCGATAGATCGAGATTGGCTGGTATCTCACACGAGGTAGCCGTCATGGCAATAGGGGGTGGAGGAGTGATTTCGTGCGCGGGAGAAATTTCCACCCGTCCCACCCCGCTCGCCAGAGGACTCAAGTCTGACGAGACGGTCGATACTGTGGTTGGTGGTGTGGTATAGGTGTTGCCGTTGGAGGCTGCTGGTGCTCCCGTCCCCACACTACTGCCGGCCAACGGGCTCGACTGGAAACCTCGGCCTGCTGAGCGTCGTTCCGCCCTGCGACGCTCCAACTCCGCCTCAAACTGAACCCCATGTGTGGTAAGAAGTTCCTTCAAGATCGCATTCTCCTCGTTCACAGTCTGCAGCATTTCTCGATGCTGCACAACGGCAAGGTTCGCTGCGGACATCTCCTGAGTGAAAGCCTCCCGGAGTCGCGAAACTTCAGTTTCCAGGGACCGGATGTATTGCTCTTTGCGCTCGCGGTGGGTTCTTTGTGCCTGACGATTCAGTTCCTGTCGTCGTGTCAAGGCAGGCCTGCTGTCGGGCTTGGGACCTCGTCGTTTGGCGGGTTGGCCATCTAATAGGTACCATCTTGATTAACGGCGGCCAGGAGGCACCCAAAAAAGCATGTGGAATACAAACCTCGGGTAACCTTTTTCTGCCCTCCAAAGAACTGAAAGAAGTTTGTGCTCATTGAGGTTGGAGTTTTCACGCTGGTTTGTGAGGGGGCTCCTGCAACAGCATCTGATTAGTACATGTATGTATACTAAATCTCAGCACGAAGAAGCAGGCAGCAACCGATCTAAGAGAGCCCGACGAATCACTCTGAAGCATTCCAGAACTGACAAACCGAATGATGGGTGGAATGTCATCTGATCAATGATAATCGACCCTGCATGGCCAAAGAATGTCCATCTCTGAGTTTGACATGACGATCACCCGGTCACATTCCATGAATTTGGAATTAAGCATTGCGGGTGGTTCATATTGCACATGGTGAAAACAATGGGGCTTGTGATGGCTCAAGTACACAGGCGGCCAGGAAGGTATAGTGATTTGAGATCCAAGGACGGGAACGCGAAGGGTTATGACCTACCGCGTGTGTGTCCATAGTCCACGGGGACAGCCCCTCCAGTTATCGAAGCCATTGTCGTGATATTTATCTGCGAACACAGGTTCAGAGACGTCGGATGCGACCGGCGCGTTTCAAAGTAGATGGAGTATCGCAACTTCGATTGGACGTAGTCGAGAAATAATGGCGGCTCTATGGATAATACCCGGCGTAAATATTGACCTTCAAAGCATCTAGATTGTCTGTCAGTTTTCTCTAACCATAATAACGGAAGAAATACACGGCACCCGGCGTTCTCACCATTGAAACAACTCCCACGATTCAAACGCACGGAGCAAACAGTTGAGGACTCCCCGATGGGCCAAGATAGAATTGAGTGAAAGAGCAGGCCACAAGGTCCAAACAGAAGTTTGTGAGGAATCCACTCAATCGTTAAGAGGGTGAAGTGATGGAGGACAATGAAGAACAAATGAAATGATAAAGGAACGGAGAGCGTAGCAACGAAGAGATAGGAAGAGTAATGAGTTCAAGGAATGGATTTTTTTTAAGGTTTCGAACGGTTTTTGGAGTCCGAAAGGCAGAGAGGGCCACAAGACTAAGAGGAGTGGAAGACGAACAGGAGTGGGACGGGAACTAGGAGTGGGAGAGACTTCAGAACGATCGACTGGAAGTGTACGGAGTCGACTAAGGTGACTGGTAAGGTCCACGGCGCCCAGTAGGGTCAACTATTTATTAGTATGGATGTATGATCGTGATGTAGTAGAGTCAATTTACGGATAGATCGGTGGCTCACAACTCCGTAATGCGACTTGCGAACCATCATTCTTATTATTATTATCTATCTAAACTACTATTACTACCTTAACTACTGTGTAGATTGAACTAAACTAGGAACGGGGATCCCACCTGGATCAGTCCATGGTCCATGGCCAGAAATGGGGACAACCCGCATACACCTGATCTTTTGTGTGCAATAATAATGAATAATCCATTGTTCCTCAGCGCGCTACTTTACTTGATCTACTTTGACTTTTGACTTTGGAGTCTTGGATATTTGGATTCCCGACGCTAGGCATCTAGTGGTTACTACTCCGTACTAGGGTAACTAGGATGAGGGGCCCGGCACGCTGGAGAATGCCCGGGGAGATCCGTTCCTCAATCATCTCAGGGAATTCATTCAGCAATAATGTATTATTTGAGATACTAATGAATAATGTTAAGACTTAGTCTGTGCTCATTATTGCCACCTGCCTCGGAGCCCCCGTAGTCTGTCTATCTATATTCTATACCTAGTAAGTATAGACTACATTAGCTTAGATCCTCTGTAACGTCGTTCGAGCTTCATCCATGGTCGGCGCGAAGCTCAACAGATCTGGCCGCGGGTCGACAAAAAGTGGAGATCTGGTTGTTCTTTTAGCACCGCGCCACCCGGTTTTCTCTGCCCCTCAGATACCTTACCGATAGAGTAATAATACAGAGTACACTAACGAACTCCCGTCATTACTAATAGTACACTCTCAGGTGTGAGAACTGAGAAGGCTATTCGATGGCGATGATCGCCAAATCAATAGGTAATCAATACGGAAAGTGACAAAAGCAAACATGGAGGGTTGAAAACTCTAGCAAGAAGAAATGCATCCACCCGTGCGGAGGAGCAGAAGACCCCAAGAACTTCGCATCACCTCATGTGCGATCGGCTAGACAGGGCACTAACTCTGTAGACAATAGTCATATTCATACCTTCCCAATCCAATTTCAATGCCAGTGAATGCTAATTAGTTGCCTATGGGTATGATCCTTTACATTACTGACCAATGATAAGATAGGGCCCTTCTGGAGAAGCAATGCTCGTGTCTCTGATTTTCGTTAATTTGAGAAGACCGGCAAGAGCTGCGTAGGTTGCATTCTGCCCCTGTCAGTGTTCGCTTCAGAGTTCCGACTGGGTAGTGTCGTGTAACTGTGGACGCAAGACCCATCGACTTGGATTCGACCTCATTCTCCAGCATTTTGTGTGGAGGAGTTAGATCAGTCATGCTGCGTCACCCATCATGTGTGTCAACAATGTATCTGATGGACGAGATCTATCGCTTTTCTTGGCCATTCAGAGCGCTTGATTCTCTCTAGACCAGCATTAGCCTAGGTAGATAGATTGAGAGATCTCAGCGCTCGGTCCGTCTGCGGCCACACTAGACAGAATAGAGTAGCAATCTCGTAGACTAATTTCTGTAGACTTGTCGGTCTTGTGTGTTCTCTTCCAAACAGAGCGTCCAACATTATCCGGACATTATTTGTAGGGTTCTCCTCTCAGTCTCAGCTTCTGTCTTTTCCCTTCCATTTTGCGTAAGGGGGAGGAATGCAAGCATTTGAGCACTTTAGCTGTCTGACACGAACGCAAGTTGGAACGTTGCTCTTTACCAAGCTAAGCAATGGTGACATGCAGCGGGACCTGAAGTGGACGGAAAGGAACCAGCAGAACCGAGTCGTTGCATGGAAGAAACTCATTATTATTCGCCTGCTTCAGTATTTCGCATCCTTCCCAGCAAAGGTGAGAATTTAAAATAGTATGAGCGTTGGAAGGGCGACCAAAGTGATGTAGTTCAACCCGATTGTTAACTTCTTCCATTTCCCTTTTCTTTTTCCCTCTCTTTATTTTGTTACCGACCTCTCTCCCTCGTTGGTGCAACCTTGCGTGACGGTCTCCATTCGCGTCGGGGACCAAGACAATCGCCGGTATTAAATAAATACTCCCTGGAACACCTTTTCTGGGCATGGGCGAACATGTTCGAAGACCGATCTTCAACAGTAATTGTCAGAATTCCGAATTCAGAAATACGGGAGTCTGGTTCTTGGTTGTTGGTAGTACAGTTATCTACTTGGTAGCGCATGACCATCAACAGCATTGCATGTAGCATTTAGGAAGCTAATGATGAACAGCCAAATCATCACCGAGTATGACCATAGCTGTGAAACTTACCTAAACCAGATCGATACTCAAGGTTCCCGATCGAAACAAAGAACCCTGGATTCCTGGAACCGAGAAGCGTAATCCTTTTGAGTCGAGGCTGGGAGATCAGCGATGCTCAGACCTCTCAGAAAGAGACTATTGACTGTCGATGGTCGATCGCCAGCCTCAGGCCGCCAGGCGCCCATGGAGGGAATCAACGGGTCAGTCCCAAGTGGGAAAGCACGGCTCCTCAGCTGACTGAGGTTGGTGCCTTACAGCCTTAGAAGGCCAAGTCTGGAACTCCAACTTTTTTGCTTCTTCCAACGGCACCAATCGAACACTTGAGTCGATCATGACGATGCACTAGAGACGATCTGAGCATCATCTGCTCACCATTATTCGCATGTTGGATGAAGATCAGCACATTTTCCTTTTTCTGCATTCTGGCTGAATTAAAGCCGATCACCATGCCCAATCAGAAATCCCGATGTTCTTGCCATGAAGTATTCCGAGATCCTCGTCCACATCTCCGCTCCCAGCGGAGTTCGGGATGATGTCCGATATCGTGCTCAGGTCGAGGCTATTCTTGGATTTCAGAGTCTGTCACGGCAGCTCATCACCTTGACGTCCGATGAGCATCGAGAGAGCGATGGTGCACCGGCTACGGGGCAGTCAATGTCTACGGATCAACCAGTTGATGCAGACCCCAGGGGAGAATCGAAATGCATTCAACCGTTCTTCCCTAACTCACAGAGCACGATTCGTGATGAAGATGTGGAAGAGGAACGCTCCAATGCAGCCAGATCCACCCCTGTACATGAGGGGCTATTCAACGCTACCACTGGTTCAACAGCACTAACGATCAAAGACTCGACGATTCCTCCAGACTCTGAAGTTGATAGTGGCCATCAAATCAGCCCCGTCTCGCTACTCCCGCAAAATAAGCGCACTGTAAAAGATTCGCTCGAGAGTCCGGTCAGTGTCATACCCGACTCGCAGCCAGAAGCGATACGTAGCCAAGCTGATGGCCTGCTTCGCCCGGTCCCCTATGTAGCCCTTGGCTCTCCTCCGACCAAACGACATCGTTCAGGGTTATCGCCGATGCTACAGGAAGTTGCACCAGTCTCTGAGGCTCTCATGCTTGCTCCCAAGCTGAACGAAGAGCGCCACGGAAATCACAAGCTGGCTGATCCTCTTCCTGTCCTGCAGATCTCCACGCAACCAAATCCCGAGACACCACCACAAGTATGCATTGATCGTCTTCCTCTAGCCATCAAGCCCCCGCTTCCTCCGGTATCCAGGGAGCAGTTTGTAACACATGTCACCCCAACTCTGGCCATGTTGACAAGGCGTTTGAAGCCAGCACGAACGTATAAGCCTGTGAAACAAACTAGGGACCTGGAGCCGTTAGAAAGGGGCCATTGGTACCTTCGCATCAATGTTCTGCAAATTGAAAGAGACAGACCCCTTGACACTCCTGGTCTACAGGAGAATGAGGCTCGGAACTGGGATTTAGCCTGCTTCTCCCGCTTCTGGTCTTTTCTGTCGGATTTCATCTCCAAGGACGGTCGCGCTGGTTGGGGGGTCTGGTGCATATTGGAAGATGCGCCCGAAACTCTCTGGTCAGGCTCAACCGACTGCGAGATCATGCCACAGAGAACGACAGCGCCGATCATGTCCGATGGAAAGACTAATCCCCACAGCTCTGTTCGGCCCGTGATACTGAAACTCTACGCGTGGGGCGAGGTTGCGCTTCACATGTATCTCCTCCTCTTCTTAGCCAGCGAACGAAGAATTCGCAAAATGGGCGCGCAGTGGCGAGACGGTCGCGATGAGGTAGTCATTGAAATGCCCTAATCACCGCAATTCGATAAGGTATCTAAAAGCTCAAAGATATCCGATGACGTCATATCTCTGGCTTGGCTTACTGGTGAATGGCCTCCTCAATACGGAGTAGACGATTACTGCAACTTAGTCTCTTCATATCAGTAGACGATATGCTGACCGATCATCCCCTCTACATGACTACAAGTCTTCCGCAGGTGGATAACTAGATGAGACGAAAGCCATGATCGGATAGAAAGGGCGGTGGAGCCGATGTGATACGGATGTCTTGGCTTGCTGCTCCGCGTCTTGGACGCGTCTAGTGAATACTGAGGGATAAACCGTCAACAAACTATGAATATATCAGCCACCGAGTCCTGAAGCCGTCGCGCACGTTGCTGTTTCGACCCCATTGCCCTCAGTCATAAATAATTCTCATCATGCCTCCGAAACGCTCTGCTTCGAACGCGTCCTCTAGCAGCAATAAGAAGACCAAAGCGGACAGCAACGCAAAATCGGGCGACCCCCGCACAATGAAGAGCACGCGCTGGTCGCGCATCTCGGGATCTGGAAATGCTGACGCTGCATACAAATTCTCCATCGAGGATCCAGTGAAGGCATATTCCTATGTTTGCATCTGTCAGCTGCCGTTCGACGATGGAGACGACAGGGAAGATGAAGGCGATCGGGAAAATGAAGACGACTGCGAAGATGAACCGTCCAAAACCTCCTGCAGCGCGGGAAAGAAATGCCTGTGCAACAAGCCCGCCGCAGAGCATCCTAACCATCCTTTAATTTTGAGCTACGCGGGCAAGAGCAAGTGGTCCACTCAGCATACTTTTCTGGACCTTCGCTGCCCAGACGCCTTCAGAATGTATACTTTCAACGACCATGAGGGCTTTGGCGCGCTCGAGGTCGTGCAAAACCTATTCATCGACTATGTCGAGGCCTCTCCTTATTGGCAAGAGCAATGGGCAGTTTGCGAGGCTACAGTGATGCTATACATGAGCGACGCTTTAGCCCCGTTGAATTTGTAAGGCCTCTTGCATCACCCGGTTTAGAAGTAAATGCTGACCCTCTCTTCTTCGGCTGCAGCGTTGACGATGCCGACGCCGTCTACGACACCCTTGTATCGGCTGGACGCATGTTCCTTGCGATGCTCGCGAAGCTTGAGCACCTTAACCTCCTGAAGCCAGATTCTGAGGTCAAAAATCTCGGCTTCATAATGGCCTCCTACATTAAGCTTGCTGCCACTGAAGACGTCCTTGACCTCCACGATGTCACCGACGAGATTAAGAAAAATAATGGAACGGACGACACTTTCACCTTCGTTCGGTCCGATTTCGCCTCCCACATCCTCGCCTATGCCAAGAAATACAACATTAAGCTTGTCGGGCACAAAGGCATTGACAAGATTATCGAGGACCTGGATGACGAAGCTGAACTGCCTGAACGTGACGAGGACCCTTCCGGTGACCCCTGGGACTTGGCTGGCGCAAGCAAAGAGTACGTTAAGCGCCACGGCCACGGCTCCGGCCATCACGGGCGGAAAGACTTGAAGGCGCAGATCGGCGGTGACGCCCTGGACATCACCACCTGGAGTTCGGCAGAGCGCAAGAAGGCGAGCTTTGACGGTAAGGACCCCCTCGGTAAGGAAGAACGTGACGCCATCAAGGAGGGGTTGGTCATGTCTCTGGCTTAGCCTGCCGTGGGATAAGTCCGTGGCAAGTTTCTCTTACAGTTGTACATTGGCATATATTATACGAAGGGGACCGGATTTTGTTTAGCGGGGTTTCAATTATGTTTATATATAATCACACTTATTCTCTACGTAGAGAGGATCACAATTGAGCGTTTATAGCCTGCATCTTCAGAATCTCAGAGTCATCCCGGAACAGATCACTTTGTGAACCGAGCAGCTTATATGCGATCAACCTAGATCACCAACCTTGTCGGATGGTCTATATGTATCTGGGAACATACTCATCAGAGACAATCCATTAACTCCTAGATCTCAGCAGCAAGTATGGTACACTTAAGAGGATGCCGGGGATCCATAAATGAAATCCCAGAGATCCTTGACACAGAAGAAAATAGAAATGGAAGAGAGTACAAGTGATAGAAAATGAGATACCAGTCTGATGAAAGGAGAACCACGCCAGTGATAATGTAGACAGGGAAAAGGAAAGGAAACGTGTATGGCTGAATTATGCGGAATCACAACATTTATCAAAGTATGTAAAGAGATTTTTCAGTCGCAGATCTTGATCCAGACACAAAGAGAACGAAACTGCCGCAAAGGAGCTGGTGCACATCTCTGAAAGGAAAAGCTTTGTGAAGCTGGCGACTGAAGAACTGAAGGTGGCAAGAAGGGGATCCAGGCGGAAGTCCGGCTAGTCCAAGAAAATGAGACTTGTAAGGCGCAACCTAGTAATTCAATTCACCACTGCCTGCGCCACCGACAGCGTCGAGGTCCTCATAGCTCTTAATGCTGCGGCCCTGAGTGGCCTCGCGAGGTCCCATGCCCTGCTGTCCAGGTCCCGATCCCATCGCGTCAGGAAATGTACCTGCTCCCATCAACGCAGCGGCGGCAGGGTGGCCAGGAGGAATATACGGCACTGCACCACTCGCTCCCATACGACCTCCGGCACCGTACATGCTCGGCATGCCACGGGCGGGACTCAAATGGCCTCCACCAGAAGCGCCTTGACGGTTGCCGCGCCGGTCATACGGTCCGGAACGGTTGTTGTAACGACCACCTCCCCGACGGATGACACCAGGATGATGGAGACTAGCAGCATGCTCGCCGGTTACCAAGCCGTTCGCGTTCCAGGCCTGGTTGTTTACATTCATGAAGCCCGGAAGACCAGCAGCGCCGGGGAGAGCATGGGTTCCACCAGGGATGTTGACGTTGCTCGCAAGATAGGGCGGCAAATTGGCCAAGCTGAAACCACGAGGAGTGCCCGTCTGGCTTTGACTGGAGCTGAGAGGGAAATGACCATTGCTGTTGGCATCAGAACGCGAGGGGGCGATTCGAGCAGGATCGAGAACGTAAGAATTGACCAGAGAGAGCTATTGTGTTTGTTAGCTGTAAACCCCATCCAGTATGGGGCATGGCTGCGACTTACATCACTCTTGATGTTCTCAAACCATTCAGTGTGGCGCTTCTCCACATGCTTGCGCCAGAAGTGCTCAGCCTTGAAAAGCTTGGTGCACTCCGGCACCTTACACCGGAACTTCGATTCGTCTTCCTGCTTGACAAATTTCGATAACTCCTCCTCAAGTGCCTCCTCCACGGGCTTGCCACCAAGTTTTCTAATATCCACATTATCTGGCTCAAGAATCTGCAAGAGCTTATCTTCAAAAGTTCGGACCCAGTTAAACGCGCGCTGAAGCTGTTGCTCCGCCTTAGACAGACGGTGCGTTCTTTTCTCCTCTACAGGGGGCTGTTCCTCTCCCTCTTCGCTGGGCTCCTTTTTCTTCACAGGGAAAGGTTGTCCAAGGGCACTGGCTCTGGCGACGGCTTTCGACTGGCTGGTGAGGCCGGCTCTCGGCCGGCGAAGATGACCTCCAGGACACTTGCGAGCAAGTTCGTGCACCGAGTCACTCTCGAAAACGCAGAAAAAGCAAAAGTTGTAGACTCTGCGTAGATATTCGACCATAAGGTCCAATTTCTTCTTCTTGGCCAGAAGTTCTTCATCGTCGACTTCGTCGTCGTCCCATCCTTCTTGTTCTTCACCCTCTTCCGCCTCACCCTCGTCAATATCAGCGGGATCAAAGTCAGGTTTCCGCTTCTTGACACTGACAGGGCCTGTGACGGGAGGCTGAAGCCAACCTTTTCCGCGCAGCTCCTCAACACGTTCTTCAATCCTGGAATAACCGTCGGCGTTTCCACCCATTTCAGCATCAAGCTTACAGACTAAACGTCGGGCCAGTTCAAGGTCACGTTCAATCCGCTCTGGGGCGGAGAATAGATCCCACAGAGCCTTTTTCCGTGTCTGGGAGGGTGGAACGTGTACACCGACATGGCACACAAAATCTCCGTGAACGGGATCATGGATTGTCTTGTCGTTGACAGCTTCCAGTGCCTTCTCGGCCGCAGATACAGTTACGGTCCCATTGGCACCCTGATCATGATCCATTTCCTCGCCTTCCTCCTCTCGACCATCTCCTCTCTCAATCACTGCGCTCTCTGGAGCAGGGTGGAGCATAATCCAACCCATTCGGTGGAACTTCTTTGAAGGATTCGGATCGCTCAGGCTGAGCCACTTAAAGCCACCGTCCTGCTCCCCCAGATGCTCCTTGCAGAATTCTTCAATCTTCGCGCGGCTCACATTGGGTGCCAAAGTCTTAATCAGCAAGGCTGGTTGTGACAAAGCCTCATCGCGCAAGTCGCCACCTCTGACAGGAAGCAAGTCCAAAACACCCAGCGTCTCGCCAACGGCAGTCGTTTCGCCTTCTTCCTTCTCGATAACGCCACCTGCGCCATCGCTTTCAGTCTTGTAGATTCCTTCCAGAGTGAAATCATCAAAAAGACCACCTTCAATGTCCCGCTCCCATTGCTGATAGGCACCCACACGGAAATCCATCAGGCGTCGGCGAAGAGGGTCCCTAACTTCGGGAACATAGCGCTCCTTGAACCACTCCTCATTTCGATGATGCTGAACAAACGTCCTCGACATCTTAATTTGGAGATCCACCTTGTAAGTGTCATAAGCGGCCTGGATCTGCGCCCTTTCTCTTTCCCGATCCTCGCGAGCCTCGCGTTCCCCCTTGACACGATCAGATGGGCGCCGTCCGCCGTATTTTGCGCGATCCTTCTCCTCTTTGATGGATTGCTCAGCACGCCACCATTCTGCGAACCAATTGAATCCAACTTGAAAGTCAAGGTTTAACGGGTTCGGAAGAGGGTTTGTCGGAAGTGGTCTTTTGCCAGATTCCTGTCCAGGAACGTAACGGTCGATATTGGCAACGGTTGGCGACGGAGCAGCACGCCGATCCTCCCGCTCTCTGAAGGCATTCTCGCGAGCCGAGGCATAGTAATCGTCGCGAGAAGGGCGGCGGACTGAGGGTTCGTAGCGATCAATCATAACTGGAGAGCGAGAACGGCCACGTGCACCGCGACGACGGTCTTGTGCTCCTGGAAAGGGTGGAGAGTGATTAGTGACAAAAGATCGTTTCTTAGCCGTTCATTAGGTACTTACCAGGTGACCTGCGCCGGTAAGAATCCGTTTGCGCTCGAGCCGCGTAAGGGTCCCCTTCCCGGTTCCTCCCGGGTGATCCAAAACTCTCGTAGGAGTCCATTATGGCGCGTGTTCCAGCGCGCAAAACCCTCGAAGCTGATATCTGTTAATGTCACAGGGTACGTTGACTTATGACGCGAGCGCTGCGTGATAAGAGGAGAGCACGGTGAGAGACGGCAGTGGCTTAAGAAAGCACGGACTGGTCGCGTGCGAGGGCGGAAAACGAGGAAATAAGCTAAGACCCGATATCGTCAACATTAGAACAAGTTCGTTCACTTAATATGAGTGTCTGACAGCTTGTACGCTGTAGAGGATGATAGGGACGGATCAGGGTGAAGAGAAGATGAGGTAGTCGCCCGTAGCATGGCTAACGAGGGTATGGAAGACATATTGACAGAAGAACGACAAGAATTAAGCGAGAAAAAAAAGAGCATAGAGAATAGGAGATGAGCGCGCTCCTAAGAGCGAAAGAGAAGGTTAAAGAAAGAAAKAGTAGAGATATGCGACTGAGGGACGGAGAATCTCGAGGGCCATAGACGGCGCGACGATGATCGACGACACCCAGGTAAGACAGGTGGAAAAGAGAATAGTTGTCGGAAGACAATTAATCTAGAGTCAATGATGGGGGAATTTCGTCCCGAGAGGAATTGAGCTGGGAAGAGAGGGAAGGCAAAAGACAAAGGGTGACTTGATGGTGACAGGACACACGATGAAATAAGAGAGAAGATGGGCAAGGCAGGCAACCTACAAGTAGCCTTTGAAAGAAGTATCACACGCCAATCACGTCCAATCTGACGAATCCAGACGGAATAAGACTGCTGTTCCCCCGGGGACAGGGTCTGATGGTTGAAATGCAGGAGGAGGCAAAGGAGATAGCAGAGAGAGGGAGGATGAGAGAAAGAAAGAAGAACTGCAAGTTGACTGGCGGATGCGAGATGATGACTAACCCTGACATTATTAAGTTTAACTATGGTGAAGAGGGTGAGGCTGGTGGCTGACCGCCTTGTTCCCCCTAATCCTGATTGGGAATGGTACTATGATCATAGACAGCTAGCTACCTGTGAAGTACTCCATAATAAGTGAGACAAAATTGTAGATATCTTTTAAAGCTGTTTATTCACAAACTAAGTAGACAGTCGGACCAGCACTCAACCGGTCACGCCATGTGTCAAGCCGGATATGCTGGTAAAGTATGACTTGATATTTGTACATACAACGTTCGGGGAAATTGCCCGTTGGGAATCACAAGAACAAACTCGCAAACCACGTTGGACAGGGTCATATAGAAGAAAACGAAATGAGAAACCAGATTTATGAAAAGTCATATAAATAAAAAGCCATTGAAGAGCATGAATGCACAGATGAATGTCCACCTCATGCCACTACTCCTTGGCAGGCAATCGTGTTTCCTTTGATCATCAGCGCCAGCTATTCGAGGTTCGCGGATCAGCTGGCGCATATTGAATCAGACAACTGAGTGAGTGCTGCCTGATGGAAGAAACATTCATGGATTCCAAGAAAGATCAAGGCCAAGTAAGGCGAAAAGGGGTTAGAGGCAATCAAAGCACGACAATTGCACATGCAAGTCAAGTAGAAGCAGAGACGGGGCAGACTTGGCCCACAATCCTCCAGTCATGGATGCGCCTTGGAAATCCCTCTGTCGTATATCCGTCAGCATTTGGGGTTTGCCTCAAACTAGCCGTCACTATATCAGTGGTACCGTGTCACTCCGTCAATCATTTTTTGGTCCTTCTTTTACCAGTGATGGATTCCTTCCCTCTAAATCCGAAACATGAGCTCGAGTAACATGAAACACGAAGGGGCAGAAAAGACAAAATGCGTGGTCGAGGTTGCAGTGTATATATGACAAGGGGACACTGTCGGCGACGGGCACAAAACCCGGAGATGCTGCCATTGAAGAGCGGCTGGAATTGCCAATACTTTAAGTTTGAATGAGCCATGCCGAAGAAAAAGGGCCGGCTACATTCAGCGGCAACCCACTCGGCACAGATACCCACGCCAGAGGTAGAGTGTAGAAAGAAAAGGCAGGAGATCAAAGGAAAAAAGGGTCATTTCATACAAGTCAATCCTGGAAACATCACTTAATGAGCCGATTGACAAAGGGGTAATAATCAGAAATTCGTCCCAGCATAACAATATAAACAGACATCAGATCGCGAACTTTGCGAGGGGGACATGGTAAGGGTTGTGTTGGAGATGAGTAGTCACATATCGCTTGCTACGAGAAAAAGGTGGCGAAACGACCAAAGAAGTACAGAACAGAAATTCGTCCCGAAATGGCGTCATCGGGGTCATCACTGACGGGGCGTGAAAGTCGTGCTCGTCAGGCTTAACCATCCTCATCGGTTGGTTCTGCAGATTCACGTTCGCTATCCTCAGCTGATCGAGTAGCTCCACCAGTCTTAGATTTCTTGGTTGAATTCGCGTTGTCTTCGTTAACTTCGCTCGACTTCCGCTTCTGCGCGGATGAAGGGTTCTCTCCGGTTGGCTTTCCAGAGTCCACGTTTTCTTGACCCGAGCCCGTAGCGGTAGCCGCCTGTTTCTTTTCCATAGCGGCTACTTCGTCGGCCGTCAAGAATCTTCCACCGGGACCGCGCGGCCGTCGCATGGCGTGATTGTGACGCGACTCGTGTAAATAAGGTTTACGGCCCTTTGACGTGAGCCGTAACTGTTCCTCCAACTTCTGTCGGGCAACCCGGCGTTTTAAAATGCGATGGAATTGCTTAGCGTTCACATACAAGGGAGACTCCTCGGCAGCACCGGCGACGAGCTCCGGTGACGGTTGGTTTTGCTGGACAGGCTGAGGAGGCGGCGCCATCGGCGGGGGAACCGAAGACCGAGCAACATGATTGAGCACTGGTTGAGCAGTCTGGACATGTGGGCTACCGACATGACTCATACGACGCTGTTGCATCTGGGCATTTTGGGACATGGATAGTTGAGTACCCATTGGGGGCATCTGTCCTGAGATCTGCGGCGGCGATCGCGGATTCCGGTCACCTTTCACTTGTACTCCCGCCATGCGAGGAGAACCACGGGGACCTTGTGCCATCTGGCCAGCCATCGAGTCTTGGTGAAGTGGGTAGAATTGCCCAGACGCGGCTGCTGTAGCCATTGCAGCCGCTTGCGTAGGAGAGATACCGTACGGCTGAGGCATAGCCGTTGGAACGCCATACGACTGAGGAAAGTTCATCTGCTGATGTACCGAGCCTGGGGCATTCTGAGCCTGCTGGTAATGGGACTGAGATGGGACGATTGAAGAGCCTTGATGGGCAGGATGAGGCTGCTGCATGTGCCCCTGAGGATTTGTGGGCGACGACATCGACCCAACAGTTGAACCTGCGTTCTGTGGCGCTGTTTGGTAAGGGCCGGCCATGTGAGAGGGAGCGTGAGGGTGCTGGCCATGAGGCTGTTGATATTGTGGAGGATATTCCATCGTGCTGGAGACGCGACGGGTGATTCCGTCCCCTTGGTACCTTACGCGATGATTGGTTAAATATTCTTATTAAGATGGGTTTACTTAACCCAGTAACGGCTCGAATAAGTAGGTGATTGCCGCGCAGTGGTCAAGTAAGGTAGAAGCAGATGACTGGATGAGAGGTTGTTAGAGGGATGGGGTCTTTTGAGGTTATCGCGAAGGGGCGCGAATAAGAAGAATCGAGTCACAAAAAGCGGCGAGCCCTTGCGACCGGTGATTCGGCGAATTAAATGCGCAAATCTGCAGGCTTCTGTTTTCGCGTCAGTATGGAGCGCAGCGCTGAACGGTCACTGGATCACTAGTGAGGGGCTTATGGGGATAGAGAGGCGCTTGTACGGAGAAGCTTACCTTGACTTTGTTTCGCGAATGGACTGACTTTGGAGCTATCGACGACAAGAGCTTTCCACAAAAGATAGCAACTGGGTTGTTTGCCGAAACGACTCCAAGCAATGCTCTTCAGGACGTTTTGGGTTCTTTGTGGATACTCTCTCTTAATACGTTGACCACAACTGTAACGTGGTTGGGCTCTGATGCAGCGGGACAGGGTGCCCTTGAGAAAGTGCGGTACTCGATGCGTTGTCAGACAAAACGCAATCTGGTTGATAACAATGCACGATTGCCTATTGCCGGCACGAGGCGAAGCCACAAGCGGGAAAAGCAAAAAAACAAATCAGAGTAAGAACGTCACTACGCAGTGAAATTGAGTCCCGTAAAAGCCAGGCTCCCCTGTTTAACCTGTTTCAGCTTCTAAAGTTGGCAGGTTGCTCGGCCACGTCTCTGCAAGACGAATAAGACGGGCAGGAAGAAACTTGAGGCGGTGCTGGCAGCGTAGCCTGCACTTCTGTCCAACGAATCCGAGTGGGAGAGGAATTTGTCCTGCTCCACGGTCTCGGATGATAATGCCACTTCTGCGTGACTTAAGGGGATTGATATTAGAATAGGCCTGAGTGGCCTTGCACACAGACTTCACTACTAAAGATCGTCAGCAATGTACTTTCTCGCCAACCACATGCGAAATATGTGCTGTCAAAAAGTAAAATGGGGTTTGCCGAAAAATGGTGGGGTTTCAGTCGTGGCGATTTAGATAGTTCACGGCTTGAAGGATGTATGCGCTGGCAAGCGGGAGTTATGATGCAACCAACGTACCTTATCTAAATGCGACGCATACGAATTCCGGTTAAGTCCCGGCCTTCTGGTCCGCGCGGATGGCAATGAGGACCACAGAAGACTATAATTTGGGCGCGCAAGGAGGTAAACAATGCCGCACGTCTGAAGCTAGCATGAAGTGTTAGAAAAGGGCCATAGAGTCAAGTTGGGGTATGATTGACGCGTGCTTATTGGGGCGCATTGCGGTTTGGGGAAAGGTGTGGGCAGAACGCGACGTTGACAGGTATAACAGTGCATAAATAGTCAGAGTATCGCAGAAGGGTATGAAATGACCAGGAGGTAGAGCATTTCTGCAATCCTTTGGATATATGCGATAATCAAGTCGTGTACAGAAGTGGGTAACATCAACAAGATGAGGGAGTCATCGCGCGTGGTCTGCGGCCCGCAAAGCGAAGCAACAACAACAACACGTTTTGACACAAAGTTTGATATATCTAATTACCTGGGTTAGGGGTGACGAATGGCCGTTGACAGCAAGCTCCCAATTCGAAGCAATCAAGGGCGCAGAAACAGCGCGATGATTTGATCCCGCTTTTTCGCTGTCACGGGAGAGGGACTTGGGATGATCTGGGATGATTCGCGGGGATGAGAGGAAGGGGAACGCGAGCTCTGCCAACGAGAAGACGAACAGCACAAAGGCGGTCCCAGCACTACTTCGAGGCTACCGCTGATGTCAGTCCGGCCCGGGTTGATCCGTAAACGAGGACAAGCCACCGATCAGTAGCGAGTGGGTTTGTCGCTTCGCGCTGTGATAATGACGCGAATGGCAGACAACAAAAGAATAATAATAGTAGGAGTACAGGTCGGCAAGGGTGATAACTCGCTGGAAATTAAAATGCGACGCAATAGTGCTGGCTGATGATGGATAACCAAGAGACTCTTGGAGCTGAATGCCAATAAAAGCGCGCGAATTGGTTTTGGGAGCGAGTGGAAAAAAAGCAAAAAAAGAAAAAGAAAAAGACAAGTACAAGGGCAAAAGTGATTTGTCAGTTTTGAATCCTAAAGAGGACCAGTGTAACGCGATTGGATATGAGCAAGAATAAAGTGTTCAATTATGAAATGAAACCGACGGAAATGGTTGTGCAAGGGGGGGAAAGGGCCTATAATTCATACATACCTAGGACAAATAATGATTCGATGGCCGGGTACCGTGGACGAAGAAGGTGTCAAGGTAAACCAATCCAAGCACAGGGTATGTGTCCTTACCAGAGAGCCTATCAAGGTAACTCTCCGTGGAATGGTGATGATATGATAACAATATCAAGCACGAGGTGAACGGAGATAATAATGATGATGGGGTGGTCCCAAGGGAGTATCAATCAATGATGATTGGGTTGGCTGAAATACAAGATCGGTGATCTGAAGCCAGCGACCAGCAGTGAACGAGTCGCAGGCCGAGCAGGAGAGCAACGAGCAGTCCGTGAGCCTTGACTGGAGGGCAAGCAAGGGACTGGAGAGGCCGGATGACCAACGAGAGGAAGCAGAGAGAGAAAGCCGCAGTGACGAGAAGGGGCGGGCGATGGGGCATTTGTACCGGACGCGTCCAGAGGGGAGCTGACTGGCTCGGTGGTTCGTTTAGCGGTCGAGGCGGCGAGGATTCGGACCAGCGAGTGGTCAGAACACTTACCGTCTTGTACTGTCAGGGCTTGCCCCACTTTTCTCACCAGGTCTGTGTAAAGTCACAGCGATACGCTTGTAATTTTAATGAATATGTCAGGTAAAACGGTAAGGCATATATGTCTGGAAGAATGCCCGACGACTCAATCCTTACGTTATTTGCATTAATATTTTTGTCTGACTCACTGAACAAAATTGCCAGGTAATCTGATGAGCATTAGCAGGTAACGCTCGCGATGGCTTAGAAAGTTGTTGGAATATCACATTGTGATTATGCAGAGAGCTCCGGTCACCCCGAAGACATTGATCCATGCCACCACGCCTGAACGTCACGTGTGATGCCTTCGGCATTTATCAGCATCTTACCCGTGGGAACTGTGAGTTTCAGAACTGTGGTCTAATCTGAAAGTTACCAAAACCTGAGAAGCCGAAGCTAAGGTATGGACTTGACCAGCCACCTTCCAAAATTAATTGGATTCTGTCTTGCAATTTGCTGCCCGTGCAACTTTTTGACTGGCCATTGATGGTTCTACATTGTCTCTTGTTCAAACATATGATGTTGAAACAGCAGAAAAGATATGTTAAGAGTCAAAGAACTAGTTCATGTAACTCAAAATGCTCGAGTGAGAATTGTATACTCTAGAGCCCAGATTCAGCACTCATATTGCTTGTTAATTGCGTCCCGTTTAGTTTTCCTTCATCCAGTGAATGCTCAGCGTACTTGTGAAGGCCTGACCCAGCCTCGGCTATATGCCTTGATTAGGAAACTGTCTTTCAAGTTCAATCCCGTGTGCAAGCTGGCCTTCCACTTCATAATAAAACGTACAAGGGTGCCTCGCTATGTCTCTAGCCTCTCCATGACACCTTAGCAATCGTGGCGTCATTTTACCAATACCTGAGCGAAAGTTGCCTGTCCGTTCCCTTGTTGAGAGAGCCGCATAGTAATACAGTATGAATGCGAAAGCTCGAGGTTTCAGGCATCGGCAACCTATCGCAGGTCTATGCCAAACAAGCTGAGTTCACAAAGAGAATGACGAGTGGCGCAGTAGTGGTACTATCTCTATCTACAGCGCCTTCATATGTATCGATCTCATTTATGATTACACAGTAAGAAACTCCATCAAAGCTGTAAAAACGATAAGACTCGAGTCGGGCCAATCTGTACCACAAACCTTACTTCGACCAGCTGTCCAGTCCTCAGCTTGCTCAACACACTGACACAAATGGCGCCGATCTGTCCCACACCACGTGTGGAAGCTTGACCCTTCAATCACGAATAATGGTACTCTCGTGGAGCCTTGGGATACAGGCCTCTTCGCTCTTGTAAACAATTCATTCTCCAGAGAGGATTTGCCGGAAACTTAGTACTACGATACTTCGGTATTTGACGGGGATGACTCCCATGTACTCGAAGAAAATCATACAGTAAATGACACATTGGGTTTTTTTCATGGCTTTTTTGGCGTCCATTTGTTGTACAAGTTCAAAATTACGTAGAAGCAAAGCAAACAGCCTGAGAGTTTAGGCTGGAATAAAAGCTCAGGCCACCTGACGTCAGGCGGGAGCAAGTTCAAACAGCTCCCTACACCGCCTCTCCAGCCTCTCCTCACCAAAATGAAAATAGGAAATGAACTGTCAGGATTGAGCCCTAGTATGAGACTCGATAGAAAACTCGAGGTGAACTTGCTCTAGGTCCAAATGGCTCATTAGTGATGCAAGAGAATAGTCAATCTAAGATGCTACATGGATACATGTTCTTCCCTCAGTCTGTAAGGTCCGATAGTGCAAACATATATATCCGCATCCACAGGCTTATACTTCACAGCTACCTTCCAGCGTCAACATTCTCTTTCTGTCTTTGCAGACGAGGTGCGTACTTGCTGCAGAATTTATATAAGGTTTCTGCATATTCCTGGAGGAGCAATTGTGCTTCATGCAAGGCAAAAAGCATCTGGCACCCAACCCACCGACAAGCCAAGAAATCACAGGACACATGACACTTCCATGTTTCAAACACATCATGATCCCAAGTAATATTGGGGAAAGGCGTACATGGAGTCAACTCCTGAGTCACCGAGATCCATACACTGCTTCAATGTCGCGCCAGGCTTCTATTTCAAGAGCGTGAAGGAGACGGTCACATCAGACTCGCAAAAGTCTGAAATAACCTAGCTAGCCGGAGCATGTGCACTAAAAAGAATTGGACTCATTCAGGTTCACAAAGCAGTGTTGCATGGGCCATCATTGTTTTGTTTGCTGCGCCCTTCGAGCAGTGTAAGGGTGAAACTGGACAATGGCTACCCTGTCATATTCATCGCGGCTTACTCTTTTTTAACTGTTGGTCAAGATGCACCTTTTACCAGAAAATCCTACGGTATGATTTTTATACAAGGTATACATACCAAATCAGAAGGCACTCCAGTCAAAGAGTCAAGCCCAATGACAAGAATATAAGCTACTGGCGCTGTCTATTAGCGTGCTCAATGAAGCCCAGGAAAAGCCAGTCGCAAAACGCGGGCATTAGGCCACCAATGGCCATGTCAAGGTCCGCATCTGACGCCGTATCCGCTTTGCATGACAGGAATACGACTAGCAGGGCGCAGTTGATATCATGGATACGCAGGCTCAACGTCTTGCTCGTATGGATTTTGTCGAGAGACTTGACAGGGTTAGGTCGTGGGCGTTGTGCATGCACGAAACGAGGTGTCCAATCTCGCCCCATCCAAACACGCCCAATCAGGCACTCAAGTTGAGTGCTTACGCCCTGATACGCCAGCTCACACAGTGAGGCATCACGGGAGTGCAGTGTATCATTGGCCATGCAGCCTGTGACGAGGCATCCTGGCTCTTCTGGAAGCGCTCATAACCCCATACTGGAGCTGACGTCTGTTGCTATCATGTCTAGGCAAACTCTACTGGTTCCTGACTTGTTATCGTAGCTGTTTCATGGCTAGTCATCCTGTTCCTATCCCTCTCCTATGACTGGGAGTCTTGATCTCCGAGCTGCGCGTATGTTTTGCTGCCTGTTTCAAGTGAGGCAAATTTTACCTCTACACCCACTGATGGCTGAGCATAAGAAATCTTTATCCATTGACGTCTCCAGAAGAAGCAGCAATAACAGATTGCAATGACGTTCTCGACTGCCAATACGGCTTGTTGACATCGACCTTGGGGTGCAGAGAAATGKCACCCATACCATTCTACCGTTCCATCCACATACTGCTTTTCTCATTCGGCATTCCTCCGTACGATCTTCACTTTCCGATAGTTCAAACGACGTAGCAGCAGTTTTGCCATCCTTTTAGAGTATTTTTGCATTACTGATGGAAGCAAGAGATCTTTGTCCTTAGGAAAACACAGAACGAGTAGACCATATAGCTAGCAGAAAGAAGATCAGTTAGGAAATCTTACGTTTGAGATAATCACCCGCAATATCTTCCGCAAAAAAGGGGAACACTGTCATATATGACACATTGAGACTGCTAGGTTGGGCACTAATACAACTACCACGTATGTCGACGGGCATACATACATACACCGCTAGATGTCTTTACTGTAGAAAATGGATTGTTAATCCATTGAAATCGGTCTATCTGCAAATATTCTTCTTTTCTTTTACGTCATATGTCCAGAAGATTCTCACTAGATGCAGTAATAGAGTCCAGTAATCATATAGCTTTTGATTGATTGTCTGGCCTTGTGGGCGCTGTTGGTTAGGTAGCCCGGATTGTTATATCTGAGATTCATCCTGGTTCTTGTTGCAGATACCTTCTTATTGCATTATTCTGCAAGTTCAAGGCATAGAAATATCCTGCATAATAATGCAGCTGTATGACATAACATTCAGAACCTAATTGCTTGAAGATACTAACTCAAGACGCGGAGTATACATCCCGCTCTGTAGCAGATATCATCACTTCATGACCCCTCTCGACACAGTCGGAAGAGTCTCGTCGTCAGCTTTGCTCATACCAAATCACATCCATCACAAACATCTCCATCCTGCCATACTTCACCTTGACAGCCTTGAGGAACGCCCTCATGCGCGAAGTCTTAACAGCTGCAAACTCCTTGAATTCCGCGGCTCCAAAGGCGCACTCAGACCATGCCTGTTCCAACAAACGCAGAAGATACTCATTCCTGTCTCAGTGCCCACTCTTGCCAGGGTGTGATCGCGTGCAATAAGTTTGTCCGGAAGACCTGCGAGAGTTAGAAGCAGTGCTGAAGCAACACTGGTTCGCTCACTGCCCGCTAACGTTGCGCAAGTACTAATCAGTAACATCTTACTTCACAGGAAGTGCTAGAATCTGGTGACCATGTTCAACATACAATGACAATGAAAGTGTATAGCTTTCTTCTACTCCTGCGGATCCAGCGTTCAATTCATCTCGCGCACACCCCTGAAGCTTGGTACATGGGACTCCAGGATATCCTAAAACATATCCCTATAAGCATCGTTGCCATCGTTGGTGGGAAGGATGATCAGTTGGGTGTCCCTGTCTGGTGCTGCTAGAGGAGCTTGACCTGCTCAGGTAATTGCGGAGGGGCAAAATGAAATCTCCCTGTGGCTTCGAAGGTCGAAGATAGCACCGAGTGACAACTCTGACACGAATTGGGATTTCCCAACTTACCCATGAGATTGGTGAGGAGTCCAGAGCGGTAGATGAGGCCTTGCTTGATCCCATGGTGGCGGTATCGCCATAATTTGACAGTCTTGATGCGGGATTGCGCAACATGCGGGTGAGGACCTTTGATGGAAATAGGCTGGTCGAGCCCAACTTCTATAAGATCTCCCAGATCGCATTGGGAGCGACAGGACACGCGGTGATGAGACACATGCTTCAATGACTAAGTATGTTTGCTAAGCTGCTGTTAGGAATGATGCACGTCTGACTTATATGTCGAAGTCACGGCACATATGTCTCACTGCCCACTGAACCG